CGATGCAGCGCGACGTGGGGCTCGATTTTCTCCACGCCGACGTCGCCGACGCATCGCCGACGTCGCTTCGATGCGGCGTGATCCTCCGACCAGATCCACTCGGAGGGCGACGGGTGCGCCCCGACCTCGCCGATGCATCGCCGACGTCGCCGCCGCGTCGGCGATCGAGGAGGTCTTGTGGCCTTTCTCGGTCTCCGGGGGCCGTTCTCGATCCCCTGGATCGTCAGCAGCGGGATCTGGGGTGAAAAGTTGCACCAGATGGACCCCAGGAGGGGTCAGGGCCCCGATTTGCAGCGGATTAACCCTTATCATCTCTCCTGGACTGGCTTTTTTCTCGGGGCCCATTCAATTCAGACCACCCCAGTGGCCTCCATGTCGGAAGATCGCGACGCATCACCGATGCACCGGCGATGCAGCGCGACGTGGAGCTCGATTTTCTCCACGCCGACGTCGCCGATGCCGCCGATGCCTCGCCGACGTCGCCGACGCATCGCCGATGCATCGGCGATCGATGCGGCGTGATCCTCCGACCCCGCCCACTTGGAACATGGCCGAGCCCGCCCGCAGGGGTGCGCCGGATCTGCATCCCGAGATCCTGGCGTCGCAACCTTTTCGCGCTGGGCGATTCCGCCCGAGCTCGGGCCCCGTGGCCCTCGCGGATCGGTCCAGCTCGAAGAGTGCCACAGGAGGACGGGATCTGGGCTCGGGTGTTTTTTTTGGGTGGGTTTGTGCGATGTTGCAATGTTTTTGCGTTGTCGGATCTCAGGGCATTCCCGGACCTCCAGAGTCTGAAAAAATGGGGGCGGAGGTTTTTTTTCATCGTTTTCAGCCTCCGGGTCCCTCGCCGGGCCTCGGGACCGCGCAAAAACGACTCGGGACGAAAAAGCGGCCCCGTGGAAGCGGTCGAGAGGTTGGGGGCCCGTGTCGAAAAAGCGAGACGCCAAATGTCTGGGTTCGGGCTGCCCAGGGAAGCGTCCTGGCAGGTAGCTTCGGACGGCTCAGTGAAGCGCGATGGGCCTCCAGATGGGCCCACGGACCTTGAAGAGCCCCTCGGATATGTAGTGTTCAGAAGGCACGCGGAGGGCCCTCCTGGGCTTCCAGCGCGATGCAGAAATAAAGGCGGAACGCTCTCGCCATTTTCGGCCTACAGGGGCCCTCGCTGGGTCTTGGGGTCGTCAGAGCACGACTTGGGACGAATAGCTGGTCCCAGGGGGCTTTTGGAGAGCCTCAGGAGAGTCTCTGGAGGCCTCCGCAGGCGCCTAGAGACGTAATCATAGAGGCGGCGATCGTCGTCGTCGTCGTCGTCGTCGTCGTCGTCGTCGTCGTCGTCGTCGTCGTCGTCGTCGTCTTCGTCGTCGTCGTCGTCGTCGTCGTCGTCGTCGTCGTCGTCGTCGTTTTGTCGTCGTCGTCGTCGCTGCTGCCGCCGCCGCCGCCGCCGCCGACGTCGTGGTTTCGCCGTCGCCGCCGCCGTTGTCGACGGATCCATGACGAGCGGGCAGCGGCAGCGCCTGCGCGGCGTCGGTGGCTGTCAACGGGTCGGGGTCTCCAACTGCTCCCCTGGCCCCGGAAGGTGCCCCCCAATTGTCGCGCTACTATCAGGATCGGTCAACATCGAATCGGGAAATCCGATCGAATCGGGATGTGCCTTGGATCGGGCCGCATTGGCGCCGAATCGAAGCCGAATTGGAGCGGACTCGCCAGGGTGCACAACAGCGCCATGCAAGCATCGGGCCGCATCGGATCGGCCGAAAATCGGAATCGAATCGACTCGGGCCAGCCAGAGCCGACATGGAATCGGATCGATCGGATCAAAATTGAGGCCCCTGAGTGCTCTGGAAGCCATCTGGACTGTTGTGGGGACCTCCCTGAGATCCGACGTTGTGAACAAGTTGCAACATCGCAGAAAATCGAGACCGGAGCCCTGGACCCCTTCTGCATGCGGCATTTTTCTAGCCGGACCGACCTGCGAGGGTCCCAGGGCCCGAGAGAAAAACTTGCAGCGTCCAGATCTCCAGGAAGGATACCGTCGGCAACAACTCAACGGGGACCCTCATGGCCATGGCCGGGCCCGCCTGGGAATTCTGGCCCATCGCAGGGCCCTCGGAGCGCCCTCGGAAGGCCTTCGCAAGGCCCTCCTGGTCGTGGCAGGGTCCGGCTCTGGAAGCCTCCCAAATGGGGTCCCACTGGCAGGGGTTCAAGGATCGCGCCGCGTCACCGATGCATCGACGATACATCGGCCCGACGTCGAAGATGCATCGGCGCCGTTGGCGTGGAGAGGATCGGGCTCCGCATCCAGCCGCATCGGCGATACAGCGGCGGTGCGGCGCGATCCTCTGACCCCTTCCTCGGGGACCCCATTTTCGTAAGTCCCTTGGCCTTCTGAGACGTTTTCTAAGGCTTCCCAAATGGCACAGATAGCTTCTCAGAAGGCGCGAGGGCTTCTGAGAAGTTCCGCCACCTTCTGATAAGGCCTTCTCCTCCTCGCTCGCCGCCGTCCTTTGGGAAGCCTGGGGCCTTTGACTTCTCGTTCAAGCGCGTCCTGGGGCAGGTCCAGGGGCCGATCGCGGCGGCAGCCGCAGCTCCTGCAGGGGCGTTTCGCGGGTCCTGCTGCGCCTGGCCCTCGGCGCTCGGGGATCGTGTAGGGGAACTTGTAGTTTTTTTTTTCTGCTTGATTATTGGTTTGTTGTTATTGTCGATTGTTTCTGCATGCGCAGGCCTCTGGAGAACCTCCAATGACCTCTGTAGATCTCTGGGATCGTCCAGGGGTCGGGATCTGGGGACCTTTTGCCAACGCGGGATTACACAGTGCAGTCCTTGCGCGTGCTGATCCACCCTAATCCCACCAGCCCTCTGGGCGTAGGTGGTCTAGAGAGCTTTCTCTTCCAACCCCTTTCTTCCCCTTCGGGGAAAGGTTTACCCCACGCGTGGCGCACCTCGCCCCAGCGTCGCGCACATGGGGTCGGTTTTGGTTCCCCAGTGGCTGTCCATCCAAAGACGACCGCTGAACATGATGAGGCTCGGGTGTTACTTATGTGTTGGGAGGGCGGGTGGGAGTGAGCTAGACGGCTTGCTATCTAGGGGGTGTCGTGACCCCTCCCCCTTACCCCCGCCCCTGGACCTGGAGGGGGGGTTCGCGAGGTGTCAGAGGGTCCATTTGGGCCCAAGATGGCTCCAAGAGCGCCTCAGAGAGCCCAAGATGACCTCGGTTTCCAAAATGCTCCAAGAGGCCACAAGATCGTTCCAAGATGGCTCCAAGTTGCCACGGAGCCTTCCACGGAGGCCCCCTGAGAGGCCACCATCCTTCAAAAACCTAAGGAACATAATGATTTTTGCCTTCTCGCCTTTTTGCTTTCGATGGCCTTCCAAGGCTTCGAGATGGCTCCAAGAGAGCCCACTAGGGCCCCACGAGAAGCCCAAGAGAGCCCCCAAACGGCCCCAAGACCGCTCCAAGAGGAGCCCAAGAGGCGATCTTGGGGGCTTCCGAGGGGGAGGCGAATTAAGAACCCACCCTTCTTTGCTCGAGCTCTTCCAAGATGGCTCCAAGAGGGCTTCTGAGGTCCCCAAGAGCTCCCGAAGAGGACCCCAAGAGGCGCTCAGACGGCCCCAAGAGGCGCCCAAGGGGCCTCCAGGAGGCTCCCCAGAGACCCCCAAGAGTCCTCCAGAGGATCACCGAGGCACCCAAGACGCTCAACGACTGCCCAGGCCAAGATGCCCCCCCAGACGCCCCAAGAGGCCCCCAAAAAGCTTCCATGCGACATTCGAGGAGACTCCGAGAGGCATTCAAGAGGTTTCTGGCTCTGCTGTTCGTCCTTTTCCTCCTCGTCCTCCTCCTCCTCCTTCTCCTCCTCATCCGCTTACTCCTCCTGGTCCCTCCTGCCTCCTCCCCCTCCCCCACCTCCTCCTCCTCCTCGTTCTTTTCCACGTTCTCCTCCTCCTTCCTCCTCCTCCGATTCCTCCTCCTTCTTCTTCTCCTCCTCCTCGTCCTCCTCCTCTTGCGCCTCCTCCGATTCCTCCTCCACCCTCCCCCTCTTGGGGTACGACGTCTTACCCAACCCTTTATTCCACTGCATTCTACACCACCTCCCTGATCAGGGCAACTCGTCTGGGCATCGTTTCTGGATTGCTCACGCATTGGTATGAATTGGATCAGATAGGGAGTCTCGAGCTCCATCCTCAATCTCTGTATTATTATTATTATTATTATTATTATTAGTATTATTATTAAATATTAGTATGATTATTATGATTATTATGATGATTATTATTATTATAATAATAATTATTATTGTTATTACTATTCTTCTTATTATTATTATTATGATTTTATTATTATTATTATTATTAATATTATTCCTAGTATTACTGTTAATACTATTGCTATTATTATTATTATTATTATTATTATTTATTAGTATTATTATTATTTATTAGTATTGTTATTATTTTCATTATTAATATTATTAGTATTATTGTTATTAATAATATTATTGTTGTTATCAGTGTCATTATTATCATTCGTATGATTCTTCTTATTATTATGATTATTATTATTAGGATTATTATTAGTAGTTTTCTTCTTATTAATATTACTAATATTATCCTCCTCCTCCTCCTCCCAAGTCTCCTCGTGCTCGTCCTCATTGTCCACTTCCGCTTGGTCCTCTTGTCCTGCTCGTCCTGCTCTCCCCCCAAGATCAGTCAACACCGAACCGGAAACTCGGATCGGATCGGACACGTAATCGGAATCGAATCGGATCGGCTACGCCAGACTGTACACCAACGTCGTGCAAGCAACGGGCCGCATCGGATCGCCGGAGTATCGGAATCGGATCGGCTGGAATCGACATCTCCAGAACTGCGACGTCGCGATTTTGTCGCAACGTTGACCCCAAGTGTCTGGACCCCTTCCCCGGGACGGGTTTTCATCATGAATGATTTTTTGCTGGTCCCGAGGCCCGTGGAGGGCCCCCGGATGCCGAGCATAACTCCCTCGTGCTTTTCTCGCGACTCGACAGGGTCTCGGGTGGCCCCCGCTTTTGCCGCCGCCTGGGGGACGCCAGAGCTCCCTCCGATCGCGACCGCCGCCCGCGGCACGCTTTGACCGCGAGCCGCGCGGCACCGGCGCAGCGCCCCGCTGCCGCCCTCTGCGAGGAGCAGGCCGCCCGCCGGGGCTGGGCTCTCCTCGGCAGCACGGCCTGCGGCCCCGCTCCGGCCCGCCTGGAGCCGTGGGGGGGGGGGCGGCGGCGTCGAGGCTCGGAGGAGGGCCAGGCGAGACATCGGTGGCCCTCCCTGGCGTTCTTCGCTCTCCTCGGGCCTCCCGGAGGCTTCTCGTCCTCACGGCCGGATCCGCCTCGAGGAGCGGGTCAGGCTGTACCCTGGGAGGGGCCCGGGGGCCGATGTCGAGCGCATTTGGGCCGGGCCTGGGAGCCGCCGTTGTCTCGACTGGCCCTCCAGCGAGAGGGGGAGTGCTCCGGCCACGCGCAAGAGCAACCCCGAGGCAAGAGCGGCCTCCTCCGGTGCGCGACCCTGGGCGTCGGATCCAAACGCGCGCGGGCCAGTGCTGGAGGGGCCCGCTGCGGGCCCGCACCGCTCGGAGACACGCACCAGTTTTCCCAGCTGCGTCCAGCCGTGGCGACGAGCCTCTCCCCCCCCCCCGAAGGGGGGTTAAGGGGAGGGGGGTCTCCTGTGTTATCCAGGGGATGCGGTCACCGTTGTCTCAACTCGACTGGCCCTCGGGCCCTCCTCCGAGCTACAGGTCACTCCGGCGAAGGGTCACTCGCGCGCGTGGCGCCGCCAGGCCGCCCGCCGTGCCTACGGCAATCGGCGGTCGAGGGCACGGGCAGTGCCAATTAGGCCGCCGTCCGGGTGGGCGGAGTCATCCGCCTCTGTGGCAGGCGCAGAGGCGCTGCTGGCCAGGCGGGTCGTCCGCGCGGCAGCGCGGCTCGCGCCACCCCATCGCAGGCCTCCGCAGCGACTGCCTGCCGAGCCTCGCGCGGTGCCCGCGCCGCCGGCGGCGGTCATCCAGTGATGATCATGGAGCCGAACTCTGCAGTGACTGCGAGAATGCCGGCTGCGTTGCCGTCCTGGGCGCCCTCGTCGACCTCGAGCTCGCCGTTGCTGAAGACGAAGCTGCCTTCGCTCTGGTGCGCGGCAGCAAGGGTGCAGACGTGCGCGAAGTGAAGTTGGAGCTCCTGGATCGTGTCAGACTCGGGCCCAGAGTTGAAGCGGCCGGCCAACACGACAGCGTCGCCATCCTGTGCGTGCCGGTACACTGTGTCCAGCAACGCCTGAGCGGTGGCCTTGCCGCCGCACTTACCGCCTGAGTCCACAGGTTGTGGACCCTCGTGGTTCACCAAGAACACGGCCCTGCCGTCCTCGGCCACGAGACGAACCCACTGGGCGCCACGCTTGCCAGCGGGGCCCGCGTCCTTGTCCTCCGCCACGGCGGCCTGGCCCTGGTCCAGGACGGAGAACTGCGACAGCCTGTACGCCGTACACAGCCCGAAGCGGTGGATCACCACCCCGAACGGCTCCCCGAGCGCGGAGACCTGGTCTGGGTCCGTGCAGCCCTGAAAGACGACGGCGTCGTAGTCCTTCCAACTGCTGCTCTCTGGGAGGCCCGCGCTCGAATTGCCGAGCGACAGGGAAGCCAGCCTGACCTCCTTGGGCCGGCCGGTTGTGCTCCAGAGAGGACCGCTGGTGCCTGCCGCGGCGGCTGGACATTCGAAGGGCTGGGGACCTGTCACCGTGGACGTGGTGGTCTTGGTCGAGGTGGACGTAGTGACCGTCACTGTGCTCGTGGTCCAAGTGTAATACCTCGGCAGAACCTCGCTGTCAGAAGCCTTGGACACGTCTGGGTTGCCAGGATGTCTCCCGATTTCGAATATCACCCCAAGGACATCGTGAAACCTCCCCCCGCGGCCCAAGTTTGCAGATGAGATCAGGGACGCCGCACCGGCATTGCTGATTACGAAATCTTCGCCGTACTCGCTGGAGCCGTCATGAGATACCTTGAACACCCCGAGGCCATGCTGTTCCAGCACCTGGATTACGGGCGTGAATCCCTTAGCGTTGAAAGCGCCAGACAGGATCACGGCGTCGCCCTCGAGCGCGTTCTGCATGATCACCCCGATGAGCCTCTGGGCCGTGACCTCGCCGCCGCAGCCGCCGCCCGAGTTCAGCGGCAGAGGGCCGTGGTAGTTCATGACGAAGAACGGCCGCCGTGTCTCGGAGTGCACCATGCGAAGCCACTGCACGCTGCGATTGCTCACGCCAACGCTCTCCTCCACGCTCGCCTGATCCACGGCCACAGCCTCCAAGCCGTGGCCCTGCAGGGTCCACTGGTCCTTCAAGTAGAGCGTGCAGAGCCCGCTGCCCTCTTCGATGACGTCGTACTCCTCCGCGTCCGGGCCAAGCTTCTTCAGCAGCCTGCGGGGCTCCTTGCATTCCTGAAGGCCAATCGCGTCGTACATGTAAGGCTCCCCACCTGATCAATGCCCATCCAGGACCCGATCTGGGCCGACTCGAAACCACGGCCTGATCCAGCCTGGTCAACGACCTGATCCAGGCTGATGCTTGCAGCATCCCGATCCAGGCTGACCCATGATCTGATCCCGACCCCGACCTGGCGGGCCCGATCTCTACCGCAGCGCGGAGCACTCCATCGACCGCCCAGATTCCCGTGAATCGGTGGATCTAATTACGACCTGTCCGAGCCATGACCTCGGCTACTCGCAAGAAGACCCTGGGCAAGTGGGCAAGAGTGACCTTTGGTGCGCGGCTTACCAATCCTCGGCGGCGAGCGAGGGAGGGAAACGAGAAGGAGAAGGCCTTCTCAGAAGGCGGCGGGACTTCTCAGAAACCTTCGCGCCTTCTGAGAAGCTATCTGTACCATCGGGGAAGCCTTAGAGAACTTCTCAGAAGGCCAAGGGACTTCCGAGCCTTCTGAGAGGTCCGCCTCTTCTCACTTCCCCCTGGGCTCACCGCCGAAAATGGGGTCCCTGAGGAAGGGGTCAGAGGATCGCGCAGCACCGCCACTGCATCGCCGATGCGGCTGGATGCGGAGCCCGATCCTCTCCACGCCAACGGCGCCGATGTAGCGTCGATGCACTGGTGACGCGGCACGATCCTTGAACCCCTGCCATTGGGACCCCTTTTGGGAGACTTTCCCCCCCGCTCGCCGCCGAAATCCGTGCATGCGCTGCGACGGCAGCGGCCTCCGCGTGCCTGGCTCCTGCCCCCACCGGGCCCCCCGAGCGCCGCTCGCAGGAAGCCCCTCCGGCGAAGGGGGTCACCCTTACGGTCGGTCCGAGGCCAGGAGAGCACCCCTCGAGAACACGAGGCTTGAGCATGTTCCTGGGCCAGGCCCCCTGCCGTTCTATGGGGCTGCGCGCAGGGACCTGACGACTTTCCTTTCTGGTCGTCGGCGAACCTTTGGAGGTGTCGGCGTGTCGCCCTTGGCGGCCAGCTGATCTCAGGCAGACATGGCAGGTTGAAGCAGAAAGTGGCACGCCTCCCGAGCGCCCTGCGCCCCGACCCTCTAGACCTGGCCCTCCAGGCATACTCACCATGAGACCCTCCGCTGGCCAAAACACGCAGAACATCCTAGGGTACCCTCCCCAGGATGCACAAGAGCATCCAACAAGCACGAAGAACACTGGGGTACCCTCCCCGAACCGACCTCGATCTTATAGCTCGGTCCGACTGTACGAGCAACCGATGAACAGATCGATCAAGGCCCTCTGTCAAAGAAACGTCGCGTAAGCAGAGTCTTTAGAAGGCCCGCGTGGATTTCTTGGATCGGCGCTTGACCGCCCTTCCTGCCGCGCGGGGCGTGGCGCCAGAGGCGCCGCCAAGAGGGCCTAACCCAAATCCAAGACATATATGTTGTTTTTACTATTCTTCGACTCTGAGGCCCCCGCTGCTGCGAATGACCGCCTCCGGAAGGTCGTCAGGGTCGTCTGGCTGCCTGGGGAGATGAGGGGCAACGTTACGGGGGGACCGGCTCAGGGGGGAAACATCGAGCTGGAATCGGCGATACATCGCCGATACGCCCTCACGTTCCTTGTCGGGGTGGGCTATTGGGCCACTGTCGGCGATTAGTGGGCGATTGGGGGTCGACGCGCCCCCCCCCGAACCTATCTCCCCCTAGCGTTATCACCCCTGAGGGAGGGGGATGGGAAGCAACACGAGTTGGGGCGGCTCAGCAGCGGGGGTGAGGCTCGAGCTCGGTCTTCGGGGATGGCTCGACGACAGCGCAGGTCTAGACAGGTTGTAGACACCTGATAAGGTTTCAGGGCGCTCACAAGGGGGCGGCCGCAAAAGACTCCGATCCACGATCCACGATCACAGCAATTTGTATTTTACGGCGGCGATGCTCGGACCTTCGAGATGCAATCAATGAGCGCCTCGCAGAAGAGAAAACTAACGAAACACGCGCGCGCTTCGCTCGCAGCGCCACTCGCAGAGCATGTGGCCCGCTCCAGAAGCCCCAGCTCCTAAAACGTTGGATTATCTTACTTTTACTTCCGCCGCCTTTAGAGGCCTTCCAAAAAAAGGCCGAATAGATGGGGAAACCAAAATGTACCGATACCGCTACTCCTCGGACCTCTCCCGGGGTGCGTTGTGACCAGAATTTCGAGGCGAATCCAGCAGTGGCGACGAGGGCCTCGCAGGAGGCCCAAGAAGGGGAAACCGAGGGAAAGGGGCAGCGATCTGGGTGCCGATTCCTCCTCTTGGGAAAACGTTGGATTGTTTCACTTCTGCTGAACTTCGCGACCCCGAGGGCGCCCTTGTCGGAATCCACCAAGACGGGGGGGTGACCCCGAGGGGGGGCATGAGCTCGATCTGTTGGTGCACCGAACTGCCGCAAGCAGATGCCCCCCGCATGCCCCACCTGTCGGCAACTATCGGGAGCTGCCAGCGGCTGGGGGGCATCTGCTTGGGGCGGTTCGGTGCAAGCACCGATCGAACTCCCCCCCCTGATGATGATGATGATGATGATGATGATGATGATGATGATGATGATGAGGAGGAGGAGGAGGAGGAGGAGGAGGAGGAGGAGGAGGAGCAGGAACTCGGGGCAGTCGGGACTTCGACGGCAGCCTCTGCAGACGGGCTCCGCTCTTTCAGCTAACCTGCATCCTCGCTCGGCGCTGCGCGAAACGCGGTCCTCGTGGCGCCTCCTCGCTGCGAAGCGCAGGCCGCGGCTACGTATCCTCGCGCTGCCGTGCTGCCCCACCGGAGGCTCCTGGGAAAGAGCGCCTCTCAAGCCCAGGCCGCGAAGAATGATTCGCTGCTGTTTTCGCGGTGTCGTGATGCTCTTCTGAAATACGCGGGGGAAGAATGGCCTTCCAATTGGGGACACGTAAGATTCCAATCTTTGGGACCCGAACTTCCCCGACGTGGTCGTCAGAAAAGTGAGAAGGCGAAATCTGCATTTATGGCGTGACATGCCACAGAAAAAGGACCGTAACAAAAACACGACAGGATCGCCAAAGAGCGAGGGCAAACCTGAATTCCACAACGCATGTCTCCATCGGTTTTTTGGAGGGAGGAGATGGAGCGGACAGCACTCCAACAAAGCAAGGCGGTGAAGCAGTCCTGAATGTATTGCCAACGCTTATCAAATACACCGTGTCGCAATGTCAGGCCGGACGTGAAAATCAACGCCAGGCCAAACTACCCGTGACAAGAATGCCCGGGCAGATTCCGTGCAGAAGGAGGGGAAAGAGGACAACAAAGATACTAACTAGACCTGGCCTTGAATCGAGGATGGCCGGTATAACGAAAATTGACAAACTGTCCACCAGAGACGCCAAGTGGGGAGGACAAATCCTGCCCTCCTGCGGAAGACAGAGGTAAAGAGGAGAAGAGGGAGAACAGGCGAGACAATGCGCCTCGCGCGGGCGCACTTCGCACGGGTGTCCCTCGCGAGCGCTGGCCCCAGGAGGGGCGGCACATTCAAACACAACACACGTTCAGATTTTGCAGAAGCGGCGGCGGCAGCGGCAAGTCTTTTCTCCAGCGCTACTTTGGAGAAGAATGAGGAAATCAGTGGGGACGGTAGCGGATACCTCCGCACGATGAGCTCAACGAAATATTCGAAAATTCGCCGGCCCAACGGGCCAGAGGCGTGCTAAGATCTCCAATAACTGGTTCACAATATTTCTAATTCGCGCGCGCGGGGCGGCCCCTGGGGGTCCCCGGGCGAAAAGTACCCCGGCAAGGTCCCGGGAGAAGCCCCCAGAGCGCTCCAGAGCGCACCAACAGGGCCCCGAGACGTCCCCGAGAGTCCCAAGAAGGGCCAAGAGAGAGTCCCAAGAAGAGCCAAGAGCGCCCAAGAGGCCCCCAAGATGGTACACCAAAGGTCCAAGATGCCACAAGATCGCTCCAAGACGCTCAAGATAGCCCCCAGACGCCCCATGAGGCTTTCAAGAGCACCCCCAAGAGGGCCCCAAGAGGCACAATTCATTGCTTTTCCGTGGGTTTTGGGGAGATTTAGGCGTTTCCACCTTTTCGGCATCGCGACGCCCCAAGATGGCCCAAGAGGCCCCCAAGATCGCCCCAAGAGGCCCCAAGAGGCCCCCACGAGGTCCCAAGAGGCCCCCAAAAGGGCCCCAAGACGGCCCAAGAGGCCTCCAAGACGGCCCAAGAGGGCCACTAGAGCGCCCCAAGAGCGGCCCCAGAAGGGGAGCACGAAACAACATTTCGAGCCCTCGGTCCTGAGAGGCCTCCAGGAAGCCCCAAGAGGCCCCTAAGAGGCCCCAAGAGGCCCCCAAGAGCCCTCAGGAGGCCCCCAAGACGCCTCCAAGAGGCCCCCAAGAGGCTCTAAGAGGCCCCCAAGAGGCCTCTTGGAGGCCCTAAGGGGCCCCCAAGAGGCCCCCACGGGCCGGCGGAATGAGCGAAGCGATTCAATAATCAGAGCCTCCGGTAAGAGGTTCATAATGCTTCTAGGTCGCGCGCGCGGGGCGGCCCCTGGGGGTCCCCGGGCGAAAAGTACCCTGGGAGACTTCCGCCAAGGATACCTGACCGCCCCGGGATAGTTGTCAGGCCCTCTCAAAGCGCTCAATGGGACCCAAGAGGGCCCAAAAGTCGGGATCAATGAGGCCCCCAAAACACCCTCGAAGGGCCCGAAGAGGCTCCCAAGAGGCCCCCAAGAGGCCCCCAAATGTTGCCACGAGGCCCCCGAGAGGCCTCCCAATAGACTCCAACACGCCTCCCCACAAGGCCTTGTTCTCGACCCAATCTGGCCAAATGCCATTACGCACAACATACAAGATGGGCCGGCAGAGTGAGCAAAGCGATCCGCCGCCCCACCTCGTACTGAGTGTGAGACCACCCCTGCATGATCCACAGCGCACTTGTAGTACCTATCCATGCCTGTGGGCCTCTCCGAACCCCTCCTGGGAGATCCCCCCTGGAGACCGCACATTCCGCCAGCCCGAGGGCCTTGGGCGCTGCCAGGGCGCCCTCTGGCCTTCCTTTCCGTCCCCCAAACAGCCCCCCCGTGTCAGGTGCTCGTTGCCTGGGCGCCGCCGGGCCCTCTCAGAAACCTTTTCTGGGAGCCTCCCAGCCCGCTTTTTGGGGGCCCCTTGGGGCCCTCCTGGGTTCATTTTGCCAATCATTACGGCCAGCTTGGGCCGTTCTTACTGCCTCTCCAGCTTCGATCGGGTTTCAAACACTTGCAAACCCAGATGCACAAAAAACCTACTTAACAACACACTTTGGATTTTGACGGCTCCAGCCGTCTCGGGCTTCTCTTTGCGCCTCTCTTGGAGCTCCCGTCCGTCCTTGGCTTCCAAGAGCAGGTTCTCGGTAACTGCTCGCGCCTTCTTGGGCCGCTTTCGCAGGAAGGCGTTGGAACTAGATTGGGCTTCCGCCCGCCCCCCTGAAGAGGAGGGGGAAGGAACAAAAACACTCGACGATGGAGATAGGAAGGCGCCTCAAGCATATAGGGATCTGGGAGCCCAGCGATCCCTACTTTCAACGACCGACGGGTAATCAACTTCTAAGCATCCCCAACCCCCTCCCGGGGCCTCCCCGCGGACCGCTCCTTCCGCCGGCCCAGGGGCCTCGGGCGCGGCTGGGGCGCCGTCTGGCCACCAGTTCCGTCCCACCAGCGACGCTCGCTTCGGGGTGCTGGGCTTCTGGCAGCCGCTGGGCCCTCTCAGAGGCCTCCCTCGGAGCCTCCCAAGCCTGTTTTTGGGGGCCTCTCGGGCCCTCCTGGGCTCATCTTGCCAGTCATCGGGGCCAGCCTGGGCCGTTCTGGGTGCCTCCTGCAAGCCCCGATGAGCAAAACACTCCTTATAAAACACTTGGGACTTTGATGATTCCAGCCGTCTCGGGCTTCTGCTTGCGCCTCTCTTGGAGCTCCCGTGCATCTCCTTGGGCTCCTCCTTCCATCTTGGAATCTGCGGATACTCTCCTCTCTGCGGCCGTCCCGACTGCCTCTCGGGCCCCCAACTGTCTGGGAGCCTTTTGGGCATTTTTTTCGGTCGTCTGGGGTGCCCCCAGAGAGCCTCCAGGAGCTTCTTCAGGAACTAAAACATGAGTGGCACTCTTTTTTTCCCCCTCCCGTTTCCCTCGATCATCCTTTTTGGGCCCCTCTCGGGCCCCCCCGGCGTCTTCTCTGAGGGCTCTCCAGGCCTCATTGCGGCCGTCCTGGCGGCTTGTCGGGGCCCTCCTCGGCTCTAAGATCAATGGGGCGGCGGTGTCTGCCCCCTCAGGGGCGCTCAATCGAAGGATCAGACCTATCGAACTTTGACGAAACATTGGTTCTTACTCTCCCTCGATCCTGCTCACCCAGACCATCGGGCGCGATTTACCTTCGCGCCACGGTGGGTGGTCTGCAGACTCCTGGATCGCCGCCAGCGTTGCATCCCAATCCCGACGTCGGGCAGCGCAAGCGCCGAAAACGAGTGAAACTGCCGCGGAGGGGTGCCCAGCAAGCCGGGGGAAAGGCGCGACTGCTCACGCAAGCCAGCGCTTGTCCGACGCAAGTAGGAGGATGAGGACGAGGACGAGGACGAGGACGAGGATGAGGATGAGGATGAGGATGAGGATGAGGAGGATGAGGATGAGGATGAGGATGAGGATGAGGATGAGGATGAGGATGAGGATGAGGTTGAGGAGGAGGAGGAGGAGGAGGAGGAGGAGGAGGAGGGGAGGAGTAGGAGGAGGCGGAGGAGGCGGAGGAGGCGGAGGAGGCGGAGGAGGAGGAGGAGGAGGAGGAGGAGGAGGAGGAGGAGGAGGAGTTTTTTTCCGCATCGCAGCATGTAGCCCAACGCCACCCCAGGGGAGGGCGAGACCGCCGAGGCAAAAAACAAAGCAAGCGGCGACGCCAGCGCGCAGAAAATCGGGCTCCACATCGGCGATGCACCGGCAGTGCAGCACGATCCTCTGACCCCGCCAAAGCGCCTGACCCATGCTCTCGGTGCCGAACACTGTTGGAAACCGTCGCGGGTCCTGGGCCAACAGAGAACAGCCCACGGCGCGATCTCCACGGCCCACCTGCTCGGACCCCCTCCGGGAGGCCTGAGACATCCACTTCGTGGCGCAGCGCCCTCCGCCACGGCCCGCGGCCACCGAGGCGTGCGGCAAGGACGCCTCGTCGCGTTCCGTCGCCAGCGATTGGGCGTTGCTTCATGGAGGGCGATCTCTCTCTCTCTCTCTGTCTAATATATATATATATATATATATATACACACATTTGTGTGTGTGTGGGGGGCGAAGAAGCGTGCACCATTCGTGCCCCTTTATTGCACGAATGGTGCGCCTTTCCTAAACCCCCCGCTTTATCGTCCCCACCCCTTATGCAACGCCCGAGGCGAGGCGTCTGGAAAGAGGCCGGTTGTGTGCTCATAGAGTTTCTGGACGTTCCAGGCGCTGTCCCGTCTGTCCTCTCCGCTCTTCTGCAGACCCTGCGGGCTGGGCGTTCCACCCCGGGGCGGCCGAGCGGCTCCCTGCTTTCCAGTCCCTCTTCTGCTGCTGCTGCTGCTCCTCTCCTACCTCCCGGCCTGCTTCGCCGATTAAGTACCCTTCTGCACTCGTTCCTCCTCTTGGTTCCTGGCTCCTGTAGGCATGAGGTCCCGATGGGTGCTGCCTCCCAGGTTCCTCCTCTTACTCCGCTCCCTCGGCCTCCCCTCCCCCTCCACTGCCCACCTCCTCCTCCTCCTCCTCCTCCTCCTCCTCCTCCCCCTGCTGCTGCTCTTACTTTCCACCTCCTCCTCGTCTTCGACTTCTCTCAGCAATTTCCGAGCACCCGCCAGCCCGACGTTCCACCACACCATGTTCATGGTGAGCATCTTGAACCTCGCGGCGGCGCCCGTGGAGGGCGCGCGCCACACCTTTCTGGGGATCTTGCGGACGTCGGCCATGCACCAATAGGTGGTGGTCGTGGTCGTCGCCGTGCTGGCGAGGGTTACCTGGAGGCCGCCCCAATGGGGTCCGAGAGGGTGGAGTCGGAAGATCGCGCGCCACATTGTAGATGCATGGAGACGACTGGGCTCCGGATCGAGAAACATCGCCGATGCATCGGCGATGCCGCGCAATCCTCCGACCCCACCTGCTCGGACCCGACTTGGGTAGCCTGGATTACCGTGGAGCTCGTGGTCGCGCTGGTGGCGGTCTTCCTGCGAAGAAGAGAAATCATCAACATAAAGTTACCCGTCGGTTGGAAGGAATGGGTAGAAGCATGAAGTAGGAAGGCGTTGGAAGCAGATTGTGTCTCCGCTCACCCCTCGAGGAGGAGGGAAGGGGGAAAACCGCCAGGCCCTTGAAGTAGGGAGGCGCCTGAAGTAGATTGGGACCTGGGAGTCCAGAAATACCTACTTTTAACGACAGGTGTGTACACTTGCACTGACCCTGGCCAGGCCCACCATGCGCCCAGGGGCAGCGCCCAGACATGCAACGCCTGGAACAAACAGACGACGAGAAACTGTTGGCCGTCTTCGGCCTCCGGGGCCTTCGCCAGGCCCTGGGGCCGTGGACAGAAGATCGCGGGATGAGAAGCCGGTGCCCAAGAATGGGACTTCTCGGATTGGCGCCCAGGCCCCCCGGGCGGCACCTCCCGTGCCGCCCCTGGAGCGCAGCGCACCAACAAAGGGGGCGGCCCACCGCCGGCTCCAGGAGTCCGCGCGGACCCGCGAGACTGCACCGGCACTTCGAAGATACAGTCAAGCCATACAGCTGGAGCTCGACCACAAGAGAACTTCCACAAGAAACCCAACCCTCATACCCCAGGGCGTCTGGTGATTTTTGGTGTGGGAGCTTCACGCTTTCCAGAGCAAAACCATCGAAACCCAAGAGACCGAGGGCACCCTGAAGGCAAGCAGGGTATTTCTTGGCATGGGTTTATGGGTTTCCACTGTATAGCAAGGACGCGCGGTAAGGATGCAAGGGCCTTGGACACCCAGGCCGAGGCTCTTCGAGCGAGGCTCTTGAAAATGGACCGAAGAAGTCCGCACGGACCTTCGCACGATAAGGATGCAAGGGCCTTGGAAGACCATGTCGACGCTTTGCGAGCGGGGCGCGGCCAGCGAAAACGGCTAAGGATGGACCGAAAGGGGAGGATGCAAGGGTACCGATGTTCGGTGCGGATGCAAGGGCGGTGAGGATGCAAGGGCCTTGGACGCCCATGCCGAGGCTTTTCGGGCGGGGCTGGCCATCGAAAGAGGTTGAGGATGGACCGAAGATGACCGAAGAGGCAAGGATGCAAGGGTACCCTTGGGAAGTCCCTCGTCCTTGCTGTCAGGGTTGACTGTAGCCTGGGGTCCTGAGGGGACGAGGCCCGGAACAGCGCAAGCTCAAGCTGGAGGCCCCTCCCCCTCCTTGGGGCCCCTGCCACTCCGGGCCTCAGCCTCGAATCTCCGAGTCTGCGTATGCTGATCTTTTGTTGGGCCCTTCGTCTTCCGCGCGGTCGTCTCGTTGGCGGGTGCGCCCGTGGTCGCGCCGGCGGCCTCCTGCACCACCTTCTCGCTGGCGGGCGTGCTCGCGGCCGTGCTGGAAGGCGGAGCCGGCGTGCTCGCCGCGCCAGCGGCGCTGATCGTGGCCCCGAGCGCGGAGCTCTCCTGTGGTGCGGTTGGGGGGTAGAGTGAGCATCGTTTAGCCGATCCCTGTTCCAACTGGGCCCCACTGGCCGATTTACCCCCCTAGATGGGGATATAGAGTGTTCCCTTCGGGTTTCGAAAGGGCATATCCTCAACTGGGGTGCTGAGGTGGTGAGACTGAGATACTATGGCGTGGTGGGGATGGGGATAAGTTAAACGATGCTGATGGGTGGTGAAGGGGGGCATTTGTTTTTGTTGTTGTTGTTGTGCTTTGTGCTACGATTCGCTGCTTTGTGAGGTTTTGATATCTGTTCTTTCGTCTGTTTTGTTGTTGTGTTCCCGCGTCTCCCTGGCCACTTCTGTGGCCTCGGCGATTTTCTGGGCGCTTCTCCGACTGCCTTCGCCGCGTCGCTGCGCGCGTGGCCGCAGCGACAAGACATGTGTTGGTGTTTTTTTGGGTGGTGGTGGTTGTGTCTGGGCTGTCCCGCATCATCCGCTCCATCGGCCACAAATCCAGCAACGTCTAGGGGTATGCTGGCACAGCGCTGTCGGAAAGGTCACGATGCTTGGGGCCACCCCTGCGATCCGGCTTTGCTTTGAAACATGCGACATCGCGAAAAATCACGAGCGGGGCCCTAGAACCCACCTTCCTAAAAGTATAACATATTTTTCGAGCCGGATCGATCTGTGATGGTCCGGGGGCCCGAAGCCAAACGAAAACGCCCAGATCTCCGGGTACGCCGGCACAGCGCTGTCGGACATGCCGGAGTGCTCAAGGCCAAGTTGTCGGACGTTTCTGCTTACTCTCGGGATTGCGGGCGCCTCCGGGGACCTCTGGGCCCACCGAGGAGACCAGTCAGCGGCAGGCCTGCGGGCCTCCTGCGGGCCAACCTCATCGCCCAAGGCGCCCGATCTACCATGAAGCCAGCAACGCGCATTTTTTGGCGTCGCCGCCACGCGCGCGGCGGCGCGGCACACAACAAGTCGAGCAAGCGCGCGTACCAGGCCGGCTCACGCAGCGGGGAGAAGCTGGATCCACCCGAAGGGGATCCACAACGACACTCACTCCTGGGCAGCCGGGAGGGGACACGCGGGAAAAAGAGGGATAGAGTCGGAGCCGCGCGTGTATATACGCTAAGGTATTTTGGCCCTGTCCCATGGGGCTTCGCATGAATGCTACAGGACACCGTGCTGTATATTTTCTGGCCAATTCTCTGGGTGACAGGTGTTGAAACAACAGTATATGTCGGCGGTGCCCGTTCCGAAGCGACCCCCCCCGGTAAACTCCGTCCGGGGGGGTTTCGAGCCGGCCGCACCGCCGGTGCGAGCTGGCACGAGCCCCCCCCTGGTAAGCACGAACCCCGCCGGTAGCCGGCACGAACCCCCCCGGTAAGCACGAACCCCCCCCCCGGTATGTACGACCCCCCCCTGGCATGCGCGAACCTCCACCCGGATGCGTGATCGCCCCAGGAGGTGCCGGAACAAGGCGGCACGGCTCTTCTGTACGCGGTCGCTCCGTCGACCCCTCCCAGGAGGCTCGGAACGTCGTCCGGGGCAGGTGGCCCACCCTGGAGTTGCAGCTGCCTCCTGTTGCCACGTGCCCAGTATTGTCGACAACAGCGCTGCCACTTCCTCCTCCTCCTCCTCCTCCTCCTCCTCCTCCTCTCCTCCCCCTCGTCCTCGTCCTCGTCCTCGTCCTCCTCGTCCTCGTCCTCCTTGTCCTCGTCCTCGTCCTCGTCCTCGTCCTCGTCCTCGTCCTCCTCCTCCTCCTCCTCCTCCTCCTCCTCTTACCACCCCACCCGCCGCCGCGCCTGCAGGCGCTGCCCCTCCCCCCCCCGAGCCGAGCGTATGCGCAAGCTCGGCTGCCCCTCTCCCTCGGCGGACGGGGAGCGGCGCAAACACGAGCTCTCCCGCCACCTGCGGGCGCCCGTCCCGAGCCAGGGCTGGAGATGCCCAGCATGGGGGAGACGGGTCCCGAGGGAAGCGGGTCCTGATGGTTTTCACCGTCGTCGGGCCCTCGGAGCCCTGAAGGGGCCCCGGGGCCGTCAGAAAGCGACTCAGGATGACGATTTCGTCCGGGGGGAAAGCTCCAAATTCCAATCCCGCCATCTGGGGCGCCCGTCCCGGGTCAAGGCCGGAGATCTCTAGCATGGGGGAGACGGGTCCTGAGGGAAACGGGTCCTGGGCCCTGGGGCCTTCCCCCAGGACGAGATCTTCATCCCGAGTCGCTTTCGGACCGCCCTGGGGCCCGTGGAGGGCCCCGAGGGCCCGAAGACAGCGAAACACATCAGAACCCGCTTCCCTCAAGACCCGCTTCCTCCATAACGAGATCTCCCTTGTACCCCCGCGTGCCGCTGGCAGGGCTATGAACTTTCCGGCCGCTCCGCGGTCGCACCACGTCCCTGCGTCGGATGCCTGAGCTCCGAGGGTGCTTTTGGGGTTCACGCGTGCTGGAAGAGGGGGGGGGCGGGAGGGAGGACGGGCGACGGAGGCGAGCGACGCGTCTGTGCCCGCGGGGCTCCTGCCAGCTGACCCCGCCTCCGCCGCCGATGTTGGCGAAGATGTAGAGGCTCGTGCCGGGCTCGCTCGCGTAGACCCGCGTCAAGCGCTTGTGGGGGAGGGGCGGGGCGGAAGGGAAACGGATCGGATCGGCTATCGGCGAAAGTACCCGCAAGAAGGTATCAGCCAGGGAAATGCATCGATGTAGGTATAGACACAACCCAACATGTCCGACACATGCGGGCCCATCTTGCTCCCCCAGAACATGCATCCAAAGAGCGAGGAAATAACACATGTGGATGGGTAGGGGGGGGGAACCGCGCCCCCCCCCAACCCACAGAGTTGACGAGGAGGAGGAAAGGAGCAAGAGACAGGAGTCGGAGAACGGAACAAATGTCGGGAGGTGATGCTCCCATCTCGTCAGACGCTTCATCTCGTGGAGCTTTGGCCCTCCGGCACCTGAACTGACCGCGGTGCTTCAGCGCCCTGGGCCCAGCCCCACATAATTGCAAGAACACATTGCTGCCGGATCGTGCGCTTGCTGACGCTTATCGCCGCGGTGTCAAGTCGAGCGAGGGAGGAACAGTGATTCCTCCACCCTCTGAGCGATGGAGGCTTGGCGGTGCGCACGTCGAGTAGCACGATGGGGGGCTTCAAGGGGCTTCCTGGAGTTCCTCGCGGCTTCTGAGCCTTCTTTAGAAACATCCCAGCACGTGCACGAAGGCCTCCACCCTCCAAAAGAGGCCCACCCTCCTTCTTGCAAGGCCCCCCCTCTCGCGCCACTATGGGCGCCGCCGACGCTGGTGGTTGTCGCCGTGGTGTCAAATCGGGCGCTGGAGGAAGGTTTCAGGGCGAGGCAGGAGGACGAGGAGGGGGGAGCCTCCCCGCCCCATCCCCCACCCCGCATGCCCAGCATGGAAGGATGGGCGCTCACGGGGAGCCGTGTGTCCTGAGGCCCGAGCTGTGTGTACCACACGCCCGCGCGGATCGAGCTAGGCGGCGAAGCCGTCCTCTTCTATTCGGCACGGACGAAATAGGTACGGAAAGAATGGGCACGATGCCCAATAGCAGTTCCCGTTCATTTTGAACAGGACTCGCCGTCCTCGCCGCCGCGAACGTTGTCCGTTTCAAACAGAAGGCCGCCTGCCCAACAGCGACCGCTGTCGGTTTTTGGCAACACTTGTTGCTGGGCATCGTGCCTATTTTTCCGTACCCATTTCGGGCATCCATATCCATGGCTGACGGGTACTGGGGGATGCCACCCGGAGTGCCCGTCGCTCTTTGCGGTCGGGGACACGTAAGACTCGAATTCGGGGGACTCGGTTTGGCCTGCCAGGACAATCATGAGCATGACGAGACCCAGTCAGGAACTTGACGCGAACTCCCGCTGCAGACATCCCACGAAAACTGGACCGCCAGAATCCAGGATGCGCTCGTCAAAAAGCGTCGGCCGACCCGAATTCTGGCGTACTCGACGTTTCCCTGATACTAGGAGAAGAAACAACGACATAAACGAAAGAACGTGTTCTACCGCTGCTGGCGGAAAACCGGGGGGGGTCACTACCGGTTCGAACCCCTCCCACCCCCCCCTCTGGAAAACCGGGGGGGGTCACTACCTGTTCGAACCCCTCCCCCTCCCGCCAATTCATCATGAAAAGGGGGGGGGGTCACTACCGGTTCGAACCCCCCCCCCCTCGAACTCGAAAACCGGGGGGGGTCACTACCGGTTCGAACCCCCCTCCCCCCCCCCTCGAAAACCGAAGGGGGGTGCGGACAGTGGTGGTGGGGACAGTGGTGAGGGGACAGCGGGACAGTGGTGAGGGGACAGCGGGACAGTGGTGGGGACGGTACTGGTGGGGACAATGGTGAGGACAATGGTGGGAACAGTGGGACAGTGGTGGGGACGGTGGTGGTGGGGACAGTGGTGTGAGGACAGTGGGAATGTGGTCGAAACAATAGGACAGTGGAGGGTACAGTGGTGGTGGGGACAGTGGTGAAGGCGGTGGCGAGGACGGCGGTGGGACAATGGGACAGAGGTACAGTGGGGACAGTGGTGGGGACAGTGGGGACAGTGGTGGGAACAGTGGGACAGCTCAGTGGGACAGCGGAGGAGTCAGTGGGACAGTGGGGACAGTGGGGATAGTCGGGCAGTGGTTGGGGCCGTGGAGAAAGTTGGGATAGTGGAGCCGTGGTGGGAACAGTGGTGGGGACAGTGCGACAGTGGTGGTGGCACTGGTGGGGACAGTAGGGGCGGTGGTGGAACCAGTGGGGACAGTGGTGGTGAGGACAGTGGTGCTGGGAACAACAGTGGGGGATGTGGTGAGGACGGTGGTAGGGACTAGGAATCGTTTGCTGGCGGTGAGAGGGGTGGGGTGGGGAGGGGTTCGAGACGGTAGTGATCCCCCGTTCCGGTTTTCGAGGGGGGGGGGTTCGAACCGGTAGTGACCCCTCCCGGTTTTCCGGAGAGGGGGGGGGAGGGAGGGGTTCGAACCGGTAGTGCCCCCCCCCCGGTTTTCCGCCAGCAGCGGTAGAACCTCCGGAGGGGGGGGGGGTTGCCGGGCGAAGGGACGGGGGGGGGAGAGGGGGGTCCAGCAGGGGTGGGAGGATTTTCGGAGGGGGGGGGACTCCCGGGCTCCGGAGGAAAAGGGCGGCAATTTTCGACAGTAAAGCGGCGGTGGATCACGCTCTCTCACATGAACATACACTTTTGGCGCTCCACGCAGACTTCTCGGCCCGTCTTCCCATCCTACCATCATAGGGGGATGCGAAATCCCTGAAGACGGGACGGGGTGGGCACGAGCGGGCATCATAGCCGGCTCAAAATCAAAAGAGGCATCATAGCCTCATCAATCAAGATTGATCCACTCACGGATCCACTGCAATTGATTTTCATTGAATTCATTCCATGCGTAGCATGCTCTCCCCTAATGGACCGTGAACGGGACCCAGTCCCCTGCCGGTCGTCTAGTGCCGCCATCATAGGCAACCAGAGGGGCCATCATAGGCACCTCGCACCCAATTCGGGGCCATCAGCAAGGCTCGTTTTGGGAAGAAGGACCATCATAGGCCTTCGCGCTCAATTTGTTCATTGAACTCAACTTTCTCGTCGTCGTCGTCCTCCTCCTCCTTCTCCTCCTCCTGGTCTCCACCCCATCGGAGCCGCGATACAGGCAGTGCGGGCAGCACCTCGACCTCATGGAGGATGAGCACGACGAACGTTGTTGGTGGACGTCCGCCCTTGCCCTCTCCCCCCCCGGTGAGGACCATCATAGGCCTTACCAGTGAGGACCACCATGAGGCCTCACACCCCTCGCAGTTTCCATCATTGGAACTGCGGGGGTCGAACCAAATCCCCACAAACCTGGCACCGTACGTGCAGTGCCAGGGGCGGCGGCCCGTCTTCCCATCCTACCATCATAGGGGGATGCGAAGTCCCTGAAGACGGGACGGGGTGGGCACGAGCGGGCATCATAGCCGGCTCAAAATCAAAAGAGGCATCATAGCCTCATCAATCAAGATTGATCCACTCACGGATCCACTGCAATTGATTTTCATTGAATTCATTCCATGCGTAGCATGCTCTCCCCTAATGGACCGTGAACGGGACCCAGTCCCCTGCCGGTCGTCTAGTGCCGCCATCATAGGCAACCAGAGGGGCCATCATAGGCACCTCGCACCCAATTCGGGGCCATCAGCAAGGCTCGTTTTGGGAAGAAGGACCATCATAGGCCTTCGCGCTCAATTTGTTCATTGAACTCAACTTTCTCGTCGTCGTCGTCCTCCTCCTCCTTCTCCTCCTCCTGGTCTCCACCCCATCGGAGCCGCGATACAGGCAGCGCGGGCAGCACCTCGACCTCATGGAGGATGAGCACGACGAACGTTGTTGGTGGACGTCCGCCCTTGCCCTCTCCCCCCCCGGTGAGGACCATCATAGGCCTTACCAGTGAGGACCACCATGAGGCCTCACACCCCTCGCAGTTTCCATCATTGGAACTGCGGGGGTCGAACCAAATCCCCACAAACCTGGCACCGTACGTGCAGTGCCAGGGGCGGCGGCCCGTCTTCCCATCCTACCATCATAGGGGGATGCGAAGTCCCTGAAGACGGGACGGGGTGGGCACGAGCGGGCATCATAGCCGGCTCAAAATCAAAAGAGGCATCATAGCCTCATCAATCAAGATTGATCCACTCACGGATCCACTGCAATTGATTTTCATTGAATTCATTCCATGCGTAGCATGCTCTCCCCTAATGGACCGTGAACGGGACCCAGTCCCCTGCCGGTCGTCTAGTGCCGCCATCATAGGCAACCAGAGGGGCCATCATAGGCACCTCGCACCCAATTCGGGGCCATCAGCAAGGCTCGTTTTGGGAAGAAGGACCATCATAGGCCTTCGCGCTCAATTTGTTCATTGAACTCAACTTTCTCGTCGTCGTCGTCCTCCTCCTCCTTCTCCTCCTCCTGGTCTCCACCCCATCGGAGCCGCGATACAGGCAGTGCGGGCAGCACCTCGACCTCATGGAGGATGAGCACGACGAACGTTGTTGGTGGACGTCCGCCCTTGCCCTCTCCCCCCCGGTGAGGACCATCATAGGCCTTACCAGTGAGGACCACCATGAGGCCTCACACCCCTCGCAGTTTCCATCATTGGAACTGCGGGGGTCGAACCAAATCCCCACAAACCTGGCACCGTACGTGCAGTGCCAGGGGCGGCGGCCCGTCTTCCCATCCTACCATCATAGGGGGATGCGAAGTCCCTGAAGACGGGACGGGGTGGGCACGAGCGGGCATCATAGCCGGCTCAAAATCAAAAGAGGCATCATAGCCTCATCAATCAAGATTGATCCACTCACGGATCCACTGCAATTGATTTTCATTGAATTCATTCCATGCGTAGCATGCTCACCCCTAATGGACCGTGAACGGGACCCAGTCCCCTGCCGGTCGTCTAGTGCCGCCATCATAGGCAACCAGAGGGGCCATCATAGGCACCTCGCACCCAATTCGGGGCCATCAGCAAGGCTCGTTTTGGGAAGAAGGACCATCATAGGCCTTCGCGCTCAATTTGTTCATTGAACTCAACTTTCTCGTCGTCGTCGTCCTCCTCCTCCTTCTCCTCCTCCTGGTCTCCACCCCATCGGAGCCGCGATACAGGCAGTGCGGGCAGCACCTCGACCTCATGGAGGATGAGCACGACGAACGTTGTTGGTGGACGTCCGCCCTTGCCCTCTCCCCCCCCGGTGAGGACCATCATAGGCCTTACCAGTGAGGACCACCATGAGGCCTCACACCCCTCGCAGTTTCCATCATTGGAACTGCGGGGGTCGAACCAAATCCCCACAAACCTGGCACCGTACGTGCAGTGCCAGGGGCGGCGGCCCGTCTTCCCATCCTACCATCATAGGGGGATGCGAAGTCCCTGAAGACGGGACGGGGTGGGCACGAGCGGGCATCATAGCCGGCTCAAAATCAAAAGAGGCATCATAGCCTCATCAATCAAGATTGATCCACTCACGGATCCACTGCAATTGATTTTCATTGAATTCATTCCATGCGTAGCATGCTCTCCCCTAATGGACCGTGAACGGGACCCAGTCCCCTGCCGGTCGTCTAGTGCCGCCATCATAGGCAACCAGAGGGGCCATCATAGGCACCTCGCACCCAATTCGGGGCCATCAGCAAGGCTCGTTTTGGGAAGAAGGACCATCATAGGCCTTCGCGCTCAATTTGTTCATTGAACTCAACTTTCTCGTCGTCGTCGTCCTCCTCCTCCTTCTCCTCCTCCTGGTCTCCACCCCATCGGAGCCGCGATACAGGCAGTGCGGGCAGCACCTCGACCTCATGGAGGATGAGCACGACGAACGTTGTTGGTGGACGCCAGTGAGGACCACCATGAGGCCTCACACCCCGCGCAGTTTCCATCATTGGAACTGCGGGGGTCGAACCAAATCCCCACAAACCTGGCACCGTACGTGCAGTGCCAGGGGCGGCGGCCCGTCTTCCCATCCTACCATCATAGGGGGATGCGAAGTCCCTGAAGACGGGACGGGGTGGGCACGAGCGGGCATCATAGCCGGCTCAATATCAAAAGAGGCATCATAGCCTCATCAATCAAGATTGATCCACTCACGGATCCACTGCAATTGCTTTTCATTGAATTCATTCCATGCGTAGCATGCTCTCCCCCTCCCTGGCGCGCGGAACGCGCCAGGGGCGGCGCTGGAGGCGCCGCCAGGGGGGCCCATCGCGGATCCAAGAAATCCGCGCGGAGCGCCAAACGTGTATTCCCCTATATCCTAAGATGGGGTTCTTGTTATTACTTGGACGCCTCCTACTCCCTCTTCTCCTCCTCCCCTCCTCTCGAACTTACTCATACTCAGGCTTACTCATACCCAGACTTACTCATACACAAACTTACTCATACGCAGACATACTCATACTCAGACCTACTCATACTCAGACTTACTCATACCCAGACGTACACACACATACTTACTCATGCACATATTTACTCATACCCATACGTACTCATACACAGACTTACTCATACACAGACTTACTCATACTCTGACCTACTCATACTCATACCTTCTCATGGTCTGACTGACTCAGGCCTACTCATACTCAGACTTTCTCGTGCTGGGACTCCTTCATACCCAGACTTACTCATACCCAGACTCGTTCCCAGACCTGATCATACACAGACTTACTCATACTCAGACCTACACATACTCAGACCTTCTCCTAGTCTGAGTTACCCAACGCACGGACTGATACCTACTCATACTCAGACCTAGTCATACTCAGACTCGCAAAAGGAGCCGCCAAGGGTGTTTTCACGGGCCCGTTCGCGGCCAGTTTGTGGGGATGTCTCAGGCGGTTTGCCTGTTTCGGTGCCCAACATCCTTTGCTTTCAGAGCAGATGTTGAGGATGTCTCAGGCGGGGCGCTGGTTTCAGCACCCCTAAGGGGAGCCGCCAAGGGTGTTTTCACGGGCCCGTTCGCGGCCAGTTTGTGGGGATGTCTCAAGCCGTTTGCCTGTTTCGGTGCCCGACGTCCTTGGCTTTCAGAGCAGATTTTGAGGATGTCTCTGGCGGGGCGCTGGTTTCAGCACCCCTAAGGGGAGCCGCCAGGGGTGTTTTCACGGGCCCGTGCGCGGCCAGTTTGTGGGGATGTCTCAAGCGGCTTGCTCTTTTCGGTACCCAACATCCTTTGCTTTCATAACAGATATTGAGGAGGTTTCAGCACCCCTAAGGGGAGCCGCCAGGGGTGTTTTCACGGGCCCGTTCGCGGCCAGTTTGTGGGGATGTCTCAAGCGGTTTGCCTGTTTCGGTGCCCAACATCCTTTGCTTTCAGAACAGATTTTGAGGATGTCTCAGGCGGGGCGCTGGTTTCAGTACCCCTAAGGGGAGCCGCCAGGTGTGTTTTCACGGGCCCGTTCGCGGCCAGTTTGTGGGTATGTCTCAGGCGGTTTGCCTGTTTCGGTGCCCAACATCCTTGGCTTTCAAAGCAGATTTTGAGGATACCTCAGGCGGGGCGCTGGTTTCAGCACCCCTAAAAGGAGCCGCCAAGGGGTAGGACACGGGCCCGTTCGCGGCCAGTTTGTGGGGATGTCTCAGGCGGTTTGCTCGTTTTCATGGCCAACATCCTTGGCTTTCAGAGCAGATTTTGAGGATGTCTCTGGCGGGGCGCTGGTTTCAGCATCCCTAAGGTGAGCCGCCAGGCGGTAGGACACGGGCCCGTTCGCGGCCATTTTGCGGGGATGTCTCAGGCGGTTTGCTCGTTGTCTGGCTGCGAGGATGCACACATGGGGAGCTCCACGCAGTGAGTGATGCATATCGCGTTTATTCTTCGACAACCCGAGTTCCGGCGTACTCGACGTTTCCCCGATACAGTGGAGGCTAGTCCACAATAAACCTAACCCTGAGACCCCAGGACGTCCATCAATTTTTGGTGTGGGAACGTCACGCTGTCCACAGCAGAATCATCGAAACCCAAGAAACCCAGGGCACCCTGGAGGCGAGCAGGGTGATTCTTGGCATGGGCCTCCACTGTAAGGAACGCAACGCACAAGTAGGAATGAAGGGTCTTTTCTGGGCACGGCGGACCTAGGTCACAACCAGGTTCCAGGACATAAAAGGAAAGAGCGGCCCGAGAGCCCGAGCCCCTCCTGAGCCCAAAGCGGTTCATATTTCAGCCTCTTGACTGTATCTGGCAGGGGCGCTGCCTTCGCTGGGGGTGAAAGGTAAGGCACCTTCCCTGATGGCTTGACGACTTTTCGCCAATCGACTCGTGGGGAGCGAGTCGGATCAATCAAGGCAAATGCAGATAAGCCGAGGTGCATCGAGGCAAATCCAGGTACATTGAAGTCAACCCAGAGATCTCCAGGCAAATCTGGAGCAAATCGTGGTCGCTCCAGCGCAAGTCGAGGGAAGGCAAACATCGTAAAGCCCTTGATGACACCCTTCGGCCTCTTCGACCCCCCCGCGTCGGTATCTTTACATACCCATGTCTGCGCCCGAATATCGATTCCTGGCGGCGTGCGCACGAAGGGGGTGGCGCCAGGAGGGTGGTCATCTGAGAAGGCGGAGGGCTTTCAAGAGGGCAGAGGGCTTCGTAGAATCCCTCCCAACTTCTCCCGCCTTCTACGAAACCTCCAGGCCCTTCCTAGACGGGCCCTGCCTTCTAAGACCCCCCCCCCCGCCCGCTGAGAAGACCGCCCCCCCCTCGCGCCTCCTCCCTCTGCGGGCCGTCGACACTTGCTCTCCTCGACTAGACCGGCGTGCAAACCATCTTCCGCGCGCCTTTGTCCCCAAGTCTCGAGCCGGCTCTGGTCGCGGCGACGCCGCCCCCCCTGGGGCACCCCTGGGGCATTGGCGGCACTCGCCATACAGCCGAAACAGGGCCACAAGAACGCCAGTCAAGAACACGAGCCCCTTCGCCGGAGGCACGAGGCTTCATGGGGACACCCCAAGCGACGAGCACTCCGAGGCGGAGGGTCCGCGCAGAACAGAAGGGCACCCCTCCCAAGCTCGGGCTGCTCCCATCCCTCGTTCCAGCTGTAGAGACAGACAAAAGACAGTGACCAATCGGCGGCGAGTGAGGGGGGGAGTGAGAAGGAGAAGGCCTTCTCAGATGGCGGCGGGGCTTCTCAGAAGGCCTCCTGCCTTCTCAAAGGTTTTCTGCCTTCGGGGAAAGCTTCACAAAACATCTCTCAGAAGGCTGGGAGCCGTCCGAGCCTTCCGAGGAGCCCCCCCCCTCGCTTCCCCCCCAGGGCTCGCCGCCGAAGCAAGCGCCTTGGCGAGGTGGGTGACGACAGGCGAATTCATGGCCACGTTCAAGTCTCCCACGACGACGATCAGGTCCCCGGGCTGCGCTTGCCTCCGGATGCGGGCGGCCGGGGGCGCGGTCGGTCTGCCAGCGGGCGGCCAGGGCCGCGGGCGGTGCTCCGAGGACGCGGCGCGGTAGGTGCGAGCAGAAGCGCGAGCACGCACGCGGCTTCGAGCCGCCCTCGCGCGCCGTGGAGGCTCGCGCGCGAGGTCGCGTGGGCCTCGGTGCGCGTGCGAGCACGGGGTGGGCAAGAGCCCAGATTTCCGAGTTGTTATGATTGTTCTATACGTATATGTATATATATATATATGTATTATCCTCAACGGCTTCACGCTTACCCAGAGCTCACCTTAGGAGCGAGGGCGGGCGGAATGGCGGTAGCCATACAAAACACTTCTTCTCGCACGGACGTGCACTCGCATGCACGTTCAGTTCTGTAGCACACCTGTCGCAGACTGTATCGAAAGAAATCGTGATGAAATCGTGATACACATACTTAGGCCGAAGAGCCTTCACTCCCCGAGAAAAACACGGAAATAATAAGTCTGACCTGCAGTTCTGCTGACAGCGTCGATGGAAAATATATGGTGGGTGGCAGGGGATGGCCTGCGGCCCCCTTCGAACCCCCCCCCTGGGGGCACCCCCCCTTCTGGACCCCCCTCCTCCCCCCCTCCTCCCCCAACAACCCCCTTCCCCGAACCCCTCCCTCCCCACCCCCCCTCCGGAAAACCGGGGGGGTTCACTACCGGCTCGACCCCTCCCCTACACCGCCGGCAAACGACTCCCGGGTCCCCACCACCGTCCGCACCACATCCCCCACCGCTGTCCCCAGCACCACCGTCCCCACCACCAGTCCCCACTTTCCCCACCACCGTTCCCACTGTCCCCACCAGTGCCCCCACCACTGTCGCACTGTCCCCACTGTCCCCACCACTGTACCCACCACGGTCCCACTCTCCCCACTTTCCCCATGGTCCCCACCACTGTCCTACTGTCCCCACTGTCCCCACTCTTCCACTGTCCCCGCCGCTGTCCCACTGAGCTGTCCCACTGTTCCCACCACTGTCCCCACTGTCCCCACCACTGTCCTCACCACTGTCCCCTCGCCACTGTCCCCTCACCACTGTTCCCACTGTAACCCTGTCCCATTGTCCCACCACCGTCCTCACCACCGCCCTCACCACTGTCTCCACCACCACCGTCCCCACTGTCCCCACCACTGTCCCACTGTCCCCACACCACTGCTCCCACCACCACCGTCCCCACCACTGTTCCACTGTCCCCACCACTGTCCCAGTGTCCCCACTGTTCCCATCATTGTCCCCGATGTCCCCACCAGTGCCCCCGCCAATGTCTGACTGTCCCCACTGTCCCCACCACTGTACCCACCACGGTCCCACTCTCCCCACCTTCCCCACGGTCCCCACCACTGTCCTACTGTCCCCACTGTCCCCACTCTTCCACTGTCCCCGCCGCTGTCCCACTGAGCTGTCCCACTGTTCCCACCACTGTCCCCACTGTCCCCACCACTGTCCTCACCACTGTCCCCTCGCCACTGTCCCCTCACCACTGTTCCCACTGTAACCCTGTCCCATTGTCCCACCACCGTCCTCACCACTGTTCCCACGACGCTCCCGCTCTCCCCAGTGTCCCCGCTGTCCCCACCACTGTCCCACTGTTCCCACCACTGTCCCCACTGTCCCCGCCGCTGTCCCACTGTGCTGTCCCACTGTCCCCACTGTCCCCACCACGGTCCCACTGTCCCCTCTGTCCCCACCACTCTCCCCACTGTACCACTGTCCTACCACCGTCCTCACCACCGCCTTCACCACTGTCCCCACCACTACCGTCCCCATCACTGTCCCACTGTCCCCACCATTGTCCCGCTGTCACCTCACCACTGTCCGCACCACCACCGTCCCCACCACTGTCCCACTGTCCCCACCACTGTCCCAATGTCCCAACACCACTGTCCCCACCACCGTCCTCACCACTGTCCCAGTGTCCCCACCACTGTCCCACTGACCCGAGGAGCGGGAATCGTTTGCCGGCGGCGAGGTGGGGGGGGGCTCGAACCGGTGGTGACCCCCCCTTCTTCATGATAATGGACGGGGGGGGGGGTGGAGGTTCGAACCGGTAGTGACCCCCCCCGTTTTTCGAAGGGGGAGGGGGGGGACGGGTTGGGAACCCCCAGTGCCCCCCCCCCCGGTTTTCCGCCAGCAGCGGTAGAACACGCTCTTTCCAAGAACATGAGATCCTCCACCAGCCAAACTGAAGAACATTCGAGGGTACCATCCCCCAGAATGCACAATAACGTCCAACAAACACAAAGAAAACTAGGTACCCTCTCCGAGCCGACCTCGACCTCATATACCCCTGGTCCGACCGTACCTGGTACCCGTCTCTGTGGCGCTGAGCTCCGTCTTGAAAGCTTCAACCTTGAACGCCCGCGCAGGAGTGCAGGAGCGGACAAGGAGGAGGAGGAGGAGGAGGAGGAGGAAGAGGAGGAGGAGGAGAAGGCATCGAACCGACAAATCGGATCGGATCGAAACGGGCGCCGAATCGGGCAGCAGCGGCACGTGGCTGGAAGCGAGTCGAGTCGGCCGCTCGAGGACGCACGGCAACGACTATGCCTAGAAGAACATAAACAAAAAGACGGCACAAACATCATTTCTCGGAAGTCCACGCGGATTTCTTGGATCGGCGCTGGACCCCCTCCCTGGCGCGCCGAGCGCGCAGGGGGCGGCGCTGGAGGCACCGCCAGGGGGGCCCAGCGCCGATCTAAGAACTCCGCGCGGACCGAAGACAGATTATGCTTCTGCTGTTTTTCGTTAATGCAGTCGGGTTGCTGACAGAAGGAACGCTAAATAAGGAACGAAGCCCTTTTTTGGACCCGCAAGTGCCTGCGTGCACGAGGAGGGCTCGAGGAACAGCCCTGGAAGGACCTAAGGAACATCGAGCTCCTTCCGAACCCAAACTGTTCCTGACAACATCTTGGCTGTAATTCGACTGCAGGCATCGGGCCGCACCGAATCGTCGGAGCATCGGAAACGAATCGGATTGGGCCGGCCCAAACCGTTGTCGGATCGGAGCGGTCGGATCTAAGAGAGCCCCAGCGTGCCGCCGCGCCGGGGCAGCACGGACCAGGAGACATCTCTGCGAGGAGCAAAGAAAACACAGGCATGAGCTTTCGGAGCTCGGAGGGTTTACGTTGATGCTGTCGTGTTCCTCTTGGGGAGAGGAGCGGGGGAGGGAAACATGGGGACGGGCTGAGGGGGGAAAAGGGGGACGGGCAGATCATTATGGGTGGGAAAGGAGGGAGGGCGAGAGACGGAGCTTCGGAAGGTGGGTGTTTATGCCGCTCTTTCTTCTTCGAATCTCGCTTGCGGCCCCAGTCCAGCCCCGGGACGCGCCTGGCTACCAGCCGCCGGAGGCTGCGCTCCATCTGGTCGGCTCCGCAGGCGCCTCCGCGCGGGAGAGAGGAGCGGCGGGGCAGTCGAAGCGCACACAGCCCAAGTCGTGCCGCGAGCAAGAACGACCCTGAGATCCGATCAAAGCGTCGCATTTTTTTCACACCGGGCCCCGGACCATCACAGATCGATCCGGCTCGAAAATAGGCGCAGAAAGATGTGGTCTGGGGCGCCGGTCGGATTTCCTTGCGGTGCTGCATTTTTCTCGCAACGTCGGATCTCAGGGGAGCCTCGGGTGAGGAGCGGGGCCAAGCATTTCTCTCTTCGGCGGCGAGCCTGGGGGGGAAACGAAAAGGGGCGGGCCTTCTCAGAAGGCTCGGGAGCCTCCAGGCCTTCTGAGAAGTTTCCTGAGACAGGAAACTTCTCAGAATGCCAGAGGGCTTCTGAGAAGCCCCGCCCCGCCACCTTCTGAGAAGGCCTCCTCCTGCTCACTTCCCCCCCCCTGCTCGCCGCCGACTCCTGCGCACTAGGGGTCGAGACCCTCTGAAGACTCGGCGAGGAGCCACAGGAATGCCTGCCCTGAGCTGTCTAAATGGGCCCTCCCGCCGCCAACCCGCCCGACGGCCCGCTCTGGCACCCGAGCCCACTCCCAGTCCCCCACGCCCCTCGAGAGCCGAACGCGATCCTTACCCTGACGCGCTCGCTCGCTGCACGCGAGGGCGTGCGAGAGGGTGCACACAGCAGACGCATGCGATAAGAACTCTCGCCACAAGAAATCCTGGGCACAGCCTTCGTCGATGCTTGCGGGCCCTGAGGTGCCCCAGAGCTTCTGTGTCCCCCAGGAGGAGGAGGCAGAGGAGGAGGAGGAGGAGGAAGAGGAGGAGGAGGCGGAGGAGGAGGGGAAGGAGGAGGAGGAGGAGGAGGAGGAGGAAAAGGAGGAGGAGGCGGGGAAGGTGGAGAAGGAGGAGGAGGAGGCAGGGAAGGTGGAGGAGAAGGAGGAGGAGGCGGAGGAGGAGGCGAAGACCCACGGGGCCATCGGTGGATCAAGAAGCTTCCGCGGGGCACCTGTTGGCACGCCGACCTCGCGCTGCTGTGCCTGCTGCAACGCCTCCTAATTGGGACGGGCGACGCGGCGCAGAGCCACGAGCGCACGGAGCGGGGGGCCGGGAGGACACGCAAGTGCCTTCGTGAAGGCGCCCAGGGGCACACAAACAAGTGGGCACAACTCCCAAGATTCCCCTGCCACTTTCCCATACTTTCTGGGGTCTCGTCTCCCCCCCCCACTTCCCATGCTTTCCTGCTCTCCGGGGCATCGACGATTCTCTGCGTCTGTGTTTTTCCCTCCTGACAGGAGGACACGGAGGTGCCTCGCGGGGCTTCGCGGTTCGAGCTGCTGGTGCGCCCCGGCTGCGGCCACTGGACCGCGCTCCTTCTCCTCATGCCTCCGCCCTCCGCCCTCCTCTCTCCGCGCCTTCTTTCGGCGGCGAACGACCGAGCCCCGAAGCCCCGAGGCACCTCCGTGTCCTCCATGGAAAACATGGGAAGTGGGGGGGAAGACGAGACTCCAGAAAGTATGGACAAATAGGGGGAATCCTGGGATCTGTGCCTACTTTTCTGTGTGCCCCTGGGCACCTTCACGGAGGCACCTCTGTGTCTCGGCGGCGAACGGGGGGGGGAAATGAGAAGCAAGAGGCCTTCTCAATAACCGGCGGGGCTTTTCAGAAACCCGCCGGCCTTCTGAGAAATGTCCTGTGCCTTCGGGGGAGGCTTAAACAACTTCTCAGAAGGCCGGAGGACTTCCGAGCCTTCTGAGAAGGCCCGCCTCCCGCCCCCTCTCAGTTACCCCCCAAGCTCGCCGCCAATTCTTCCTCCTGAACGCAACACTCCACTCACACCCCTCCATTCGCCCTGCAAACCGTTCGCCTCGACGAGGCTCCGTTGACAAGGGCAACCGCCGTTCCTGATCTGTCAGGGGTAGAGGAAGCATGTAGGAGCAGCTCAGCCGGATTTTGTCTTGATGAGAAAGGGGATCACACAATAAAGTTAATATGACGAGAAGACGTAACGCATGACCGAGGCATAACTTACACTTCTTTCGCAAGCGAGTCGCTTCGCGCTTCGCAATACATGGGCACGTGGCCAACTGGAGATGCCAACCGACGCTATCCGTGTGAATTTGTATGTCTACGCATGCCGACATGCGCATGACATTCGTATTCGCGGGAAACTCATTTATGTCATGTGTGCTTCCCTGCGTCCTTCCGCGTAGAACTCTTACAAACGCAGACAAGAATATCAGGAGGGATCCGTCCATGGGGGCATTACTGCCGCCAGTTACCTTCGCTAGTATTGAGATATCTCCTCACCCTCCTTGCAATATTCTGACGGCACCGCACAAGATTCTGACGGCACCGCACAGCATCCCAGTCTGAGGCGCCAGCCGAAACCAGCTCGGCGAGAGTGACCAGATGCTTTGCCCACGAAGCTCGACCATTACTCCTCATCGTCGTAATCCTTCTCCGCTGAAGCCTTGCTATGATTACTATAGGGTTTAGCGTTTAGGGTTTAGTCGCCCCTCACCAACTTCATAAGGTGCCTCCGAATCCTTGCCCCCAAGAGCATCACCTACTGAAACATCTCCGCGGGGACTTGCTGACAAACTGGCTTCTGATTTGGCAAACTTGCTGATTGACTACGCCCGATATCCGACTTTGTGACAACACTACCTACCATGAAATAAATGGGTCCTGAGGGAAACGGGTCCTGGACCCCATGGCCTTGCCCCAAGGCAGACTTTTTCACTAAGTGTTGCAATGGGGAAAGCACTGTGATGCAGAAGCCGGCCCCAAACCTCCAGGACCTGCTTCCCGCAAGACCCCTCTGCTTCATGGCGAAATGCAACGTCGTCGAAACTCACGACCAAATCTCCCAACCACATCTTGCGGGCCTCAATCTTCGAACTCCACATCTTACTGGTCCCGATCTTCAAGCTGCACCGAACCGCGAGGGTCCTGACACGCGGTTAAGATGCCCAGCCGCGACGTTCCAGCGCCCCCCTCTGGGATCTGAGGGAGAGACGCCCTCTTCCCTCCTACCCACAAGCTCAGGTATTCCACAACATGTCCAAATCTTAATATGAAACGCCACTGGGCGCCTGCATAATAAACTATGCGTACGCTCCTCATGCCCGTGTGCAACAATTGCTCTTGCGACGTGCCCAACCCATCTTCAACACTGAACCACAACAATTGGCCCACATACATGACGCGGATGGAGGCATGCCACGGAACGTTTTTCTTGGTGTTGTTTGCTTTGTTTGTTTGTTTGTTTTATTTTGTTATTGGTTTTAAATTTGTTGTTGCTTATGCTGATGTTTCTGCTGCTGCTGCTGTTTATTTTGAGATATGCATGGGTGGCTTACTCGAATGTGAGCCATGCAATACATAGGGTTATGACGTGGAACAGAAAATACGGAGTGACAACGATGACTAAGGAAAGGCAAGAGGCGGAATGATGTAGGCACAGGTTGGAGAAGGGTGGAGGAGGGACATCACTGGGGTCTTCCAGGAAGGGCGAGGTCTCATTTGGCGTCTGCGGAGGACACCGCTCCGCTGGACCTCTCAGGAACCTATGCCTTCCATGAACCCACGAACGTGGTAACTTTGTCGAAGCTTCACAGCTCGCAGCGCCCAGGGATGGAGAGGTTGCATTTTGATCTCCGTAAGACGTCACTCCGCTGGATCGCCCAAGAGCCAACGGAAGTGGCGACATGTTTTCAGTTCGTAGCCCCCAGGTCAGATGTCTGATTCTGATCTGATTGAGACGCCACTCCGCTGGAACCCCCTGGAGCTCACGAAAGTGGCAAAAGGTTTCACAGCTCGCAACACCCAGGTCGGGCGAGGTCTCATTCAGATTTGCGTAAGTCGTCAGTCCGCTGGACCTCCCAGACGCTCACGAAAGTGGCGAAGGTTTTGCAGCTCGAGGAACCCAGGTCGGGCGTTGTCTCATTCGGATCTGCATAAGACGTCACTCCGCTGGATCCCACAGGAGCTCACGAACGTGGGCAACGGTTTCGCAGATCGCAATCCCCAGGGACGGCGAGGTCTCTTTATGATCAGCTGGACCCGCCAGGAGCTCACGAACGTGGCGACTATTTCGCAGCTCGCAGCACCCAGGGACTGAGAGGCCTCATTCTGATCTGCGTAAGCTGTCACTCCGCTGGACCCCCCAAGAAGGAACCCATGCAAGTGGCGACAGTTTCGCAGCTCGCAATCCCCAGGGACGAGGAGGTCTCATTCTGATCTGCATGAGAAGTCACTCCGCTGGATCCTTCAGGAGCTCAAGTAAGTGGCGACATGTTTCCAGTTCGCAGTCCCCATGTTTGGAGAGGCCTCATTCTTGCCTGCTTGAGACGTCAGTGCGCTGACCCCGCAGGAGCCCACGAACGTGCCGACATTTTCACAGTTCGCAGTTCCCAGGGGCGGCGATATCTCTTTCTTGTCAGGATAGCACCGCTCTGCGCTCGCGCCCTCCCGGGAGCCAACCAATTTTTGGGACATTTTCGTACAGTCCCCCGGGACGGCGAGGTGCCATTCTGGTCTAGGTAGCACCGCGCTGCGCTGGACCCCCCAGGAGCTCACGAAAGTGGCGACAGTTTCGCAGTTCGCAGTTCCCAGGAACGGTGAGGTCTCATTGTGGTCTATGCCCAAGAGCGGGCTGCGCTGGACTCCCCCGGAGCCAACGAAAGTGGCGTCAGTTTTGCAATCCCCACAGAGGCAAGACAGAAGGCACCCAAGAGGCAGGGAGGAAGTAAGAGGCAGGCAGGAAGCCAGAAGCAGAAGGGAGGCGAGGAGGAGGAGGAGGAGGAGGAGGGAGGCAGGACGGGAGAAGACATCATAGGTGTGTGCAAACGAGAACCCAAGCCAGGAGGGATGGAAACACCAGCTCGGTTCGCACCTTCCCGACGGTGAATAAACTTTTGACGCTCGGCGAGCTTTTTTTCGTCGCAGCGCGGCAGAAACGATCCGCGCGCGCGCTCGAGTTGGCCGGGGGCGGGCGGACTAATCGTCTGGCAGCAAGAGAGGAGAACAACACACGGCGAACAAACCGGTGTCGTGCTCTCTTCGCAGCGTGGACCCCTGGAGGTCGCCACCCCTTCCCTGGGGTGCTGGCTTTCCAGCCCGAGCCGCGCTCCCCCCTGGGCCCAACAAAAAGGCCACTGGAGACGGAAAACGGTCAAATATCATCCGGCGTGATTCTTTCACCCGGCGGCGAGCGAGGAGGGGAAGTGAGAAGGAGAAGGCCTTCTCAGAAAGCGACGGGACTTCTCAAAGCCCTCGCGCCTTGCGAGAAGCTTCTGTCTTCGGGGAAAGCCTAGAAAGCTTCGCAGAAGGCCGGAGAGTTTCCGAGCCTTCTGAGAAGGCCCGCCCCTTCTCACTTCCCCCAGGGCCTCGCCGCCGATTTACGGCGCGAGGGGATCTGGCCCCAGGGGTCAAGTCGACCACGGGACCCGTCCTGTGACGCGTTCTGGCCAGAGTCTCGGGGGGAGGCTGGCCATGTCGACACGAGAAGTCTCCCGCAGGCCCCCCCTCAAGAGATGCAGACATAAACGCCCGAAGCCGAGCCGAACAGCCCCCGCAGCTGGCCTCCCGAGTCGAAGGGCTCGGGGCCGCGGTGGTTCACGAAGAAAACAAACTTGCCGAGCTCCAGGTGGCGGAGCCGCATCCACTGCGCCCGGCGGTGCTGATCGCCCTCCTGCGGGGAGGTGGTACGGACCCAGTCTGCATCGCCGTCGGTCTGCACTGGGGCGCAGGACCAGGAGGACGAGGGAGGAGTGCCAAGCTCCGCCCTCGATCCTCGAGGATCGAGGATGGGAGGCTCTTGGACGTTTTTGGATCTTTCTGGATCTCCAGAGGCCTCTGGGGCCTTCTCCTCTTCTTCCACCCACCCTCCTCCTACTCCCCCCTTCTTGCTCCACATCCTCACCCTCCTCCTTCTGCCCCTCCGCCGCAGTCCTTGTCCTCGGCGACGTTCTCGAGGCCCTGGCCCATGAGTGCGAAGCTGGAGTTCTTGTAGGCCATACACAGGCCGTCCTCCCCCTGCAGCACGACGTCCTCGCCGAGCCCCACGGGCTGGGCTGGCACGCGCCCGAGAGCAACCCTGGGAAAGAGCCCAGCTCTTCTCGTCGTCACCATCTTCGTGGTCGTCGTCGCAGACGCCGCCGCCGTCGATCGTCGATCGTCGTCATGGCCGCGGTGTCGTCGTCGTCGTCGTCGTCGTCGTCGTCGTCGTCGTCGTCGTCGTCGGCACGGGGGGGAGCTGCCCCCCCCCCCCAGCGAGGCCGCTCGTGGCAGGCGTTTGTTTCGTGTTGTGTATGCTTCTGTGTGTGTGTGTGTGTGTGTGTGTGTGTACGCTTGTGTGTGTGTGTGTTAATTTGCGTTTAGTATGCCCTACTTACGCCCTATCCGCCAGCGCAGTGACTCTGCTTAGCCGCCGACGAACAAGTGTGTGTGTGTGTGTGTGTGTGTGTGTGTGTGTCTGTGTGTGTGTGTGTCTGTGTTGCTCGCAATCGTGCGTGGGCGAGGCGACCAAATTCCCAAGCGTGTTGACAAACATGAGCGGCGGCGTCGCGAGGCGGCGCGCCGGAGGGGAAAGCGGGATCGGGGCTTCTCAGCTGCTCTCCAGCCTTCCTCCAGCCTTCTGAGGAGCCGTCCGTGGCCTCCTTCGGGGAGACGTAGGACTCGGATTCGGGGGACCCGGGTTGGCCTGACGGGCCCATCATGAAAATGAGGAGACCCAGTCTGGAATTTGACGCGAGCTCCCGCTGCAGACATCCCACGAACACTGGACCGTCAAAATCCAGGGCGCGCTCGTCAAAAAGCGTCGGCAAACCCGAGACCCAGCGTCCTCGAGTCGTACGTTTCCCGGGCTGAAAGGACTGAAGGCGGCGGGGCTTCACCACTGCTCTCTGGCCTTCCGAGAAGCCGCCTGTGGCCTCGGAGAAAGGCCAGAAACCTCCGAGGCTTCTGATGAGACCAGCCCGCTCTGTCCGCCCCCCTGGGCGCGCCGCTGAGTGTCCAATCGGCCGCTGGGTCTCTGGGTCCCTCAAGGGGGGGGGGAGGTCAGGGATCGACCCAAATACAGTGTTCTTCGTTCTCGTTCTGTTTTCGTTTTCCCTCCACCTTTGCTGCAAAACGGGCCAACCCCTGTGGTTTGACCGGGCCTCTGCATGTCTCCACCTTTGCTGCAAAACGAGTTCGAAACGAAAACTGCCCAAGAAATCGCCAAAACATCGTTTAGGTCGACCGCTGAGGGGGGGTGGGTCGGTCAGGCAGGCCCGGGAGGAGGATAAAGGATAAAGGATAAACCGCTCCAGAGCGTTCCAGGGCGCTCTCGGAGCCTTCTGGAGCGCTCTGGACTCCGGACACGCCCTCCAGGCCCGCCGGCCTCCAGAAGTTCCGAATCTCATGCTCATTCGTTGTCGGCAGGCCCGGAATGGGGGGCGGAAAAAATGGGCACGAGTCGCCGGAGGAGGGAGGGAGGCAGTGATGGAAGGAGGGAGGGAGGGGGGTCGGCGGTTCAAAGATGGGGTCATGAGGCATGGGGTCGTAAGGATGGGACGGGACTCGAGGTTGGACTTGCATTGTTTGAGGCACGCCGTCCTTAGGACCCCATCCAGACCCCAGCCCTCAGGACCCCACCTTTGACACTCCGAGGAGGGGGGCGGGGGGGGGGAGCCCTCTCGGCCGCCGCGGCCAGGCCGCGCGCGTGGAGGGGTGGCGCCCCCTGTGCGGGGCCGCTCCCCCGGCCGGCGGACCTCTGCCGGCGTGCGCGGGCGAGGCGCGGCAGGCTCGTGCTGCGACGGCACGGTGCGCCACCACGGCCGACAGAGGAGCCGCGGGGTGCGCGGCCTGGCGCGATGGCGCTGCGCTGTCGGGGGATTCGTCGACCCAGCGCGGGGCGGGGCGAAACGTGTGAGAAGTGTGCCGAAAGTGGATAGGTCGTGGAGAGGCATGTGGACCTTGTCACTGGGGCCTTCGGTGGAGCTCCCTATGTGGCCACGCAGCGTGTGGAGGAGGGGGAGGTGGTGGAGGATGACAATGTGGAGGGAAGAGGATTGAGAGGAGGTTTGGGAGGATCCAGGAAGGAGGGAAGGAGAAGATCTCCTCCGAGATCCTCCCCCTCCCTGGCCCTCCCTCTCTGGGTCCTCGCGGGTCACGCCGTAGTGGACCAGCTCCCTGGCGTCGGGGCAACCCTGGAAGCCCATGATGTCCTGCCTGCCTGAGAGGGGGCGGCTGGAGCGGCACCAGCACGAGGCAGGAGGGGCGCGGAGCAGGATGGGCGAGGAGCACCTCTGGCCTGCATGGCCTGGCGTGATGGAAGAGGGCCCTGAAGCTTATTGAAAACAGAAGTGAACGATCTTATTTCTCTCTTAGGGCGAGGAATCGGAATTTCTGGGCGGCATAAGATCGCCGGAAGCACGTGCGTCGACATCAGGCGAAGAATAGCGGGCAGCCCTGAAAAGGGTGTGGGGGTCGGGGTGGTAACGCATCGCCTTGGCGACGATGACGACGACCGACGACGATGAAAATCCATGGGCGAGAGAATAGTAAATCTATCGCCGCCGGGAGCGCTGTTCCTCCCCCCAGAGCAGAGGGGGGGCTTCATAATTCCAGAGCCTCCATTACTGGCCATCCGAGCGACAGCAGCTCTTACAGTCAACCCGTATGATACAGACGTACGATAAGGATGCTGCAAGGGCCTTGGAAGGCCATGTCGAGACTTTGCGAGCGGGGCGCGGCCAGCGAAAGCGGCCAAGGATGGGGCCTAAGGGGAAGGATGCAAGAGCAACCTTGCAAAATCGCTCGTCCTGACTGTGCTGGTTGAATGTACTTCAGGGTGTGACCGGAGCTCGGGATCGGCCCTGCGCCTGACACTCCCCAAGGCGTGCGGCGTCGGCTCCTCGGCCAGGGGCGGGTTCTCCCGCGCTGGTCGACACCAGCAACGGGCAGAGGGCGACCGCAGAGGCGCTCCGCGCTGCGCCGCGGAGCGTTCGGTGTCCCCTCGAGCCTCTCGACGCGAAAGGGTTCTGGCCGATGCTATCCGCGCTCTTCTCCAAATTGAACGTCATCACGGTCAAGTTGACGCCCGCGCCCGACAAATCCGGGATCCACGTCGCCGGCGCTTCCTGTGACCCGTGTTTCGGCAAAGTGGATGCGGCCAGAAGTCAGCAGGTCTGGGCAGCTAGCGCTGATGTATCCTTCTTGCTTTCTCTACGCGAGAGCTGCTATCACTGCTAATTCGAGTGCTTGCGCTGCGACTGCTGCCACTACTACGAAGACCATCTCTGCAACTGCTGCGACGACGACCAGCACAATTGTGGCGACAACGTGGTAAAGTGTGGTGTCACTTACTGTGCTGTCATTCTGCGCACGAAAAGGTAATCTGGTGGCAACTCGGCAATGATGACATTCTGAACGGCCGCAAACTCAGACCTGCCAGGAATCTCTTGTATCACAGTGTGACGCCAGCGCGGAAACGAAACAGTGACCCTGTGCAGTCTACGGTTCGAGTAGGGGATTGACTACATAATGGATTTATCCTCAAATGGATTTTCCCGCCGAATCCAAGACAATATGCTTATCATGTTCCGTTGGTCCGCGAGCATTCCACGCGTTTGTGGTATACTCGGCGGGAACATCAATTCTGGAGTAAATCAGCTCTGTAGGTGATCCCCGATTCGAGCGGTCAGGAGCTTCTGCGCCGCGTGTCGCGGCGGCGGCCCCAGCGACACGCCACGCCTTGCAAGCGGATGTAACGTGTCGCTCCGCGCCGCGGGGCGGGAGGCAGGAAGCCCAGGGTCAGCCCCAGATGCTGACGCCTGGGGACGGGGACGAAGACTGCGTGCCGCGCTGAAGCGTGGTGGGCCAGAGCTGGCGGACCCCGATCTCCGACGTCGCGAGACAACCTGCAGCCTCGCGAGAAGGCACGACTGCAGCCCTGGGTCCCAGCTTCCCGCGCCACTCTTCGAGCCGGATCGATCTGTGCAGGTCCCCGGGGCCCGAGACCGAGCGAGAACGCCTGGTGCGAAAAAGATGCAACGCCAGGATCTCAGGGGAGCGACACGCTGAGCCAAAGTTCCTGACCGTACCGAATGCCGCCTGTGGCGTGCGACCTATGGAGGCCTATCGTGCGGGGCCCTGCCGTGCGGGGCACCACCGTATGGGACCCCATCCCGTGGAGTCTCACACCGTGGGACTCCAGCGGGCCAGGCCCGCGAGGGCCCAACGAGGGCGTGATGCTCGCCTGCGCTCGCGCTGGCGTGAGCTGGCGCGTGAGCGGGGGTCGCCGGTCCGCCGAGGTAGCTTGCTCCTCCCCCTTGCTCCTCCCCCTCTTTGAGGAAAAACTTGATAAACATAAACATTCTGAGCTCTGCTCGGATTTCTTGGGTCGGCGCTGATCCCCCCTCCCTGGCGCGTGGAGCGCGCCAGAGGCGGCGCGGGTGGTGCCGCCAGAGGGGCCCAACGCTGATCCAAGAACTCCGTGCGGAGCTCCGGACGTTTACGTTTGCACAATTTGTCTTGCTCGAATCTTGCCACACTGGGTGCGGCAATGATTAAGACCCGACAGTCGAAGGGGCGAGCTGAAGCGCGAGCAAGCGAGGGCGTGACCAGCGCCCCCGCGCCCAGCCCAGAGCCAGCCGCCTCGCCAGACCAAATGGAGGTCATCTCTTGAGGGTTGGCCAGCGGGGACCCGTCGGCCCGCCTTTCGGATTCGTGGGGTCAGGCGACGCGGGGACGGGCTGCGCTGCCAGATGGTATTATGGGTGCCGTTCTCAACGCAAAGATCAGGTCCCTGATAGTACACAGGCTCCTCGCCGCACCCCGGTCAGTGTTGATTCCTCTCTTTCGTTGGCAGTCGACGTAAGGTGGGGCCCCATGTTCTGCGTGAATTTCCCGACACGCTGCGGGCCTCCAGGCATACGTACCAGCTTCCGACGCGCCGTGAGGCTTGCACGCATGGAGGCCTAGCAGTGCTGGACCCCCATGCGGCCGCGCCCCTGCTCTGGCTGGGCCCGAAGGCGTCGCAAGAGCAGACCCCCGCGGGCGGCCACGACGGGGGCCCCTGCCGCACAGGGGGCCCCGTCGTGTGCGAGCCCCCCCCCGTCGAGCGGGGCCCTGCCGCGTGGGTCCCTGCCTCGTGGGTGGCCCTGCCGCTCGGGGCCCCAGCGGGTGGGGCCCCCGAGGGCCCCCCTCTGGGGGCGGCGGGCGGGGGCCTCCGATGCTCCCGAGGGCCCTCTGCAAGGCGGCGACGGCTGCGGCGACGACGAAGCCGGAGATCCGACGACGACGACGGCGTCGACGACGAGGACGAGGACGAGGACGAGGACGAAAACGAGGACGACGACGACAACGACGACGACTTTTTGGATTGCGCTGCTGAGCATTGCTCGGGTAAGTGACGACTGACTTTACGGCTTTGCCTTCTCCCCCCTCTGTGTGGGCGGAGGCCTGTCCTGTCGTTATATTCTGCTGCGGCACGGGAGCTCCCTGGCCATATACCTCTGGCAATCTGGCCGAAGTTCCATCTCCCGTCATTTGTCTGTGGCTTGCACGGGTTGGCCAGGTTCCTGAGGGCTCCGCCCTCCCTCCTACACACATGCCCGCAGCTTCTGCAGAAGAACATCGGAATCCGATTCTGAGCCACGATCGTGGCTCGGGAGGGGAAAACGCTCTCCGGGCTCCAGAGACTTGATCAGGGGGCCCGCTCGGTCCAGGATCGGCAATTGGACAGCAGGGTGTCGACAGCCATTGCAAGATGCGAGACCTCCCCCCAACACGACTCCGACACACCGAACACGAATCTTGTCCCCCTTTCTTACCCTTTTAATTGAGGTGGGACAGTCGGCATTGGTGGCAACTGTTTTCTGGAGAACACTGAGGCGGGGCACACCAAGCTCAGCCTGGGATGGGAGTCGCTCCATATGTGCCCTGGCCTGGTTGCCCTCCTGCATCACGTGCCCTAGGACGGTGCAAAGACGCTTCCTTACTCTTGCCGCCTTTTTCTCGACAGCGTGCGCCCTCTCAACCTGGTCGGGGTGCACCTGGAAACCCTGGGCGGCCTGGTCAGCCAGGATGTCAATAATTTTGTCAGCCTCGATCCAAAAGGGCAGGGAACTCACAGTGTAAGGCTCTCTCGGTGGTGACGTGTCTCTACAGTTTATGGCACCAAATGCGGCGCACCGCAAGGGCGACTTGACATCTCTTCCAAAGAGGTCGCGGCTCATTCTGTGTTTGCTGGTGTTGGGCCACCCAACGCCGCGCACAACATAGGCCGAGTCCGTGATGAAATGAAGTTCGCCATCCGGCGGTAGATGATACATCTGGGCCGCATCCTCAATCCAGCAAGGTAGGGCGAGCAGATCATAGCAATTGCTGGATTGTTTTGGCCCTGTGAAATTTCCCGCGGCGCCTCTTATGGCCCTTTTCGGTCCCGAGTGTGGTCCTGACACCAAGCAGCGGGATGAGTAAACGTCCATCCGCACCGACGGAGGCGGGGGTCTTTCGCGTGGGCTCCTCCAGAACCGCCCCCGCTCCCCAAGACTGGGTCCCAGGGCCGTAAGAGAAAATGCGATCAGGCTGGGCCTCCCCAGGCCACGATTGGCCATCCTCTCTACGCTGGTCCATTCGCTCGGGATAAAGCTTCGGCCGCCTCTTGCTCGAAGGCAGCCGTCTGTGGATAAACTTCTAAACGACCGTTAGCGCTGCACTGCCAGTTGCAGTGGAACGCGGTCTCGGGGGCAGTGGCCTGGCACCGAGAGCGCGATGAATCGGCTTGACGAAATATGCCAACATCGCCTGGTCGTGCTCTTGGCCATGTTGACCCAATGGCCATGGCCATGACGTTCCTCCTCATGCCTGGAGCAACCGTAAAATCATTTTGCCGGGTGGGCTCTGGCGGAGAGAGAAGAGGCCCCCCCCCTCGCCCAGACCCCCACCCAGGTAGTGCTCACTGGCTTGCTTCCAGGCTTGGCTCCACAAGCACTGGGTGAATTCCAAAAAAAACCCGCTCATAGTCGATGTCTCCTGCTTCGATGCTTAGCCTCAGCCGATCCTGGGTGACTGGTGAGGCACGCTGTAAGCATGCGAGGTCACTGGCCGTCCATCCCGCGTCCGTGAGCACAGCCCTGGCTCCCGACATCGGTCTTCGGACGCGTCTCCAGCGGTTGGTCTTCGGCGTGTCCCTGTAAGCGTTGGGCCGCTTTGGGCCGCAGTAGGGCCAGCCGGGGGTGGACGTGCTCACTGCTTTCTGGTCTAATTATACATTGGAACCAAGTCTGCAGATGCCTAACTCTGAATTCGATACTGGGCATTCGGTTCCCAAGCTCCAGAGCCAAGTAGGTAGTCGGGCAACGTCCAGCTTTCCGAACCCCGAGCGTTCCCGTGACCGCTCTCTGGACCTTGGCGATGGAGGTCGATGCCAGGCCCGTGGCCATGGCTCCGTAGGCAACGCGGGGTATAGGGGGCATGAGGATGAGCTTGCGGCGAGCTAGCCGCATGCGACCGAACTCATACATCTTACGACACTTTGAAAAGTGTCGAACGGTCTGGCTAACTGGTTTCTGGTGCTCGAGCTTGCGCTCTCGCCTTGAGCCTCGCTCGGAGCCTAGGTCGGCAAATGCGCCTGTCGGACGCAGCTGAAGTTTTACTGACAAGCTTGCTACATGAGTCACAGACGGTCCTAGCGGTGTCGACGTCGGTCCCGATGGCGGCATTTTTTTGGCAAGCGTGTCGAGGCCCAAAAGCCGGACACCGTGTTAAAAAACAAATGACGCACACGCACATCCGACCGCTTGGGCCGAGCAGGGCGCTGGGGCATGTTTTGACCCCTTGGCGCGCTGGTTGATGTCGTCGACCCAGTGGGGGGATCGAGCCCCTCTGGCGGGGGAGCGCCCGTGGGCCTCGTCCATCAGGTCACATGGCGCGCGCGCGAATCGTTAGCGTCTCTGTCCCCTGTGAGCCGCGAGCCAACGGGCTGGGTGGGCGCTGCTACCGCGCCCCGTGAGCGGAGGGTTCGCGGCGCGAGGTGCAGTGCGGCGCTCGCCCCTGGCTTCCCCGGCGAAAAGTCGAGCTTCAGGGCAGCCTCGCATGCCCTGATGGGGATGACTGAGTCGTGGAGTTCGGCGACATCCCAAACCATGCTGGGGGAGCTGATGTTCAGCTCGTCCGCTACTTCGTGGCAGAAGAGGCGGGAGAGGCCACGCTGGAGCGCGCTGCTTCCCTTGATGGCCTGGCCCAAGTTGCCCGCCTTGGCATTGCGCCAGGGGAGGCCCAAGCTCCGTCGCAGCCGCGCCTGGGGGCGCACGGGCCAGGGGACGAGCGCGACGCCGCGCACGGATCCATCGGGCTTGGGCAAGAGGCCCTCCGGAGCGCTTAGGAGCTGTCGCGGCCGCGCCATCTGGTACTCGCATTCGGTGTTAAAATTGGCCAACTCCTGTCGGCCTTGCTCTGGGAGGTGCTTGATGTCGGCGGGTCCCGCGTTGTCCGTGCCTTCGCCAGTGGTGCCCCGCAAAGCACCTGCCTTCGCGTGGATCATCTCTGCCGTGATGGGTTCCCACGGGTCCTCTTGCTCGACCATCTGGATGAACTTGAGGCGGGGCTGCGTGAGGTCCCCGAGGGTGACGGGGCCGCGCTATCGCTGTGCCCACGCTGCCCTCTTGCCTTCCATGACGGTGTGAAGGTCGGTGGATGCGTCGTCGCCTGTGCCATGCTCCATGGCAGTCCCTGCAGTGTCCGTGCTCCACTAAAGGACCTTGCTGGGATTTGTGGCGGTGCGTTGGATGACCCACTCCTGGAATGCAAGCAGCCCTTGGCCTCCTTCAGCTCGATGAAATCGGTCCTCGAGGAGGCCGGGGGAGAAGGTCGTCGCTGCTGCTTAGTCGGCGTTCCACTGGTGTACTGTGGCCAGTGCCCGCTTCCATGTGTACTTCGTCGGCGCGCCGATGGGTGCCGGGTTGTCGTCGGGCAGCTCATGGCCACGCGCGTGGATGATGACCGCCGCGTTGTAGCCTACTTCGGTGATCGTGGCGCGTGCCGAAGCCCTGACGTACGGATGCGCGCCTGCCGCCATGGCGTTCGACCGTCGGGTGGCTTGTTGGCCAAGCGGGCGCCAGTTGCCACTTGAGGAGCTCGGATTCTCATGGGGGTGGGTTGTCGAGCACGTCCTGTGCCAGTATGCCAGTATGTCGGTCGCGCTCGCTGTCAGGCATCTCCATAACTCTCGCGAAATACTGCTCGATGTGGCTGACCCTAAGGGCGTTCTTGTCTCCGGGGTCTTCGGCAGCCTCCGAGGCGGACTGGTAAGCCATCGAGCCCCTGATGCATAGCGGCGGCTTGTCGAAAGTGGCGTCCAGCAGGCCCGCCTCCCGCCGCTGCTCGCCTCCCTTGGCGCGCGCGAGTCGCGGCGCTTCTGGGCGCGGGGGCGTCGATGGGGGCCCGGGCGCCTGATCGTGCTGCGGGTGCGCTGTGGCTGGCGCGGCGCGGCTGCCCGCGCCCGCCGCGGCCTCCCAACTTGCCTGGGGGAAAAAGGGGCTAATGAATGCGGCAGAGGCGTCGACCGCGACAGCCGTGGCGCCCCCTTGACGTGGATTTGCTGTGGCTGGCGCAACGCTGCTGCCCGCGCCCATCGCGGCCTCCAAACTGCCCCGAGGGGTTGGGGCGAAGGAGCAAGAAAAAGTGTCGAACGCCGCCGCCGTGGCCCCCCCGCGAGGTCGTTGCGCCGCGGCTGGCGAGCCCTCGCCAATGTCCACGTCCATCGCGACCTCCCAAATGCCCCGAGGGGAAGGGGCTAGGGAAAGGCCAGCGGGCTCAGCCGCCACGGCCATTCTGCTGTCGAGGTCACTGTCGGGGTCGGACAAGGCGTCGCCCTCATCGTCGGAAGCGTGGCAAGCTTGTGGGGCCTGCTGGGCTCGGACCGCGCGCGTCGGCAGGGGCGGCACTTCGATGGCTTTGTTCGTCTCTGCCCGACTGGGCGGTGGCTGCGGCACCTCCAGCGGGTTTTCCTGCAAGCGCTCCACTCGGCACTGTTCAGCAGCCTCCCGCTGCTGGGTGCGCTTGCTGGTGGGGTCTCGCGGCTTATTCCCAGGCGGCGGGTGGGCGAAGGAAGAGGGCGTCGGCGGGGTGAGCCCGCGCTGGAGCCGCCTGAAATTTAAACTGCCCCACTATGCACGCGTGGCTCTCGTGGTCGCCCAGCTCGTCGCGGAAGAATTTGGCTGGCACTCGATGTCCAAATCCCTTGGTCACTGCGAAGTCCAGAAACCTGCGTCCCGTGAGCTGCGTGAAAACGACGTTGCCTGGCCTGCATATCTTATCGTTGACGTACTCGGTCCAGCCGAGCGCTCCAAATCAGGCGGTGTAACATTCCAATCTCCTAGGACTATCCAGTCGCCCGTGAAACTCCGAATGGCCGCCCCCGAGAGCTGCAACTTGATCAGGTTGTGGCCCGTGAGGCCGATGGACGTAGCGAGGCACACGATAAGGACTGTGAGCTGGCAGTGCTTCATTTGGATGGTCATGAGGGTCCCGCAGCGAACTGTAGCTCGGGCCTGCGGTGACGAAGTTGGCCTCTCTGGCTGCGGTCGCGCGCGAGGTGTTCCAGGGATGCGCTCTGCAGGTGGCGCCCCGCTCCCAAAACGACTCCGCCTGCTCGCTTGACTTGGCCATCCGCGCGGGACAGCGAGATGACCGCCTTCCAGGCGGCCGCGTCGAACTCGGCCAGCACTGCGCCACTGGTGCGCTCGCCCTCGTGCGTCTCCATGAGCCCACGGACGTCTGCCTGGTGCAGTGAAGCGCGAATGATCTTTCTGCATTTGGGACCCCAATCGGTGATGTTCATGACGTCGATGGTCCGATATTCTTGCTCTTGAGCTTGATTAGACGCTTGGCTGCTTGTCCTTGGCTTTGGCACGCTTGAGGGCCTCCTCGGCCAGCCGCTTGCACTTGGGTGTGGCGAGTGACGAACACTTGGATTCAAACTGCGCCTCGGAGGCTTCGAACCCTCCCAAGGCTCTCTGCAAGGCGGCGATGGCGGCGACGATGCCATCGACGTGGGCACTGGGCGCCGAACCGTGTGCAAGGGGCCGCGGCTCCCAAGATCCTCCCGCGCAGCGGCGACGGCGGCGGCAACGACCCGAGACATCCGACGATATGATCTTTCCAATCCGCGGCCCCTGCAATCTCGCCCACCTTCCCTGGGGGATTTGTCTTCGCCCCGGAACCGTTCTTCCGTTGTCCCGAGGTAGCAAAATGGCACCTGGACCCAGACTTCCCTCGCCGTTGCTTTCTCACGGCGTGGACCCCCAAAGATTTGGGACCTCGTCCCTGGGACTGGCTTTTCCTCTCGAGCCGTGTTTTGACGGTCCTGGGGCCCGGCGAGGACCTCCAGGGTCCGAAAACAGCAAGTGCATCCAGAATGATCCCAATTACGGAACGCTTCCTGAGCGGCATTGCTTGTCATTGCTTGGCGTTGCTTAGCATAGCTGGTTTTGCTTGGCGTTCCTTGGCGTTGCTTGGCGTTGCTCGGTGCTGCTTTGCTTTGCTTTGCATTGCTTGGCGTTGCTTGGCTATGATTGGCATTGCTTGGCGCTGCTTGCCGTTGCTTGGCTTTGCTTGGTGTTGCTTTGCATTGCTGGGCGCTGTTAGGCATTGCTTGTTATTGTTTGAATTTGCTCGGCGTTGCTTGGAATTGCTTGCCGTTGCTTTGCGTTGATTGGCATTGCTTGGCAGTTGCTTGGCAACAAGACCAGGCAATCTGAGGAATGCACGAAGGAAGCAAGACCATGGAATCCCGAGGAACGCCTCTGTGAAGAAACACAGCCAAGCAACCCTCAGGAACGCCACAGGAAAGGAACAGGACCAGGGAACCCCGAGGAACGCAACGGCAAAGACACAGGACCAGGGAACCCCGAGGAACGCGGTCTGGCACAGGCAACGCACCCACGGGCGGCTCAACAACGAACAGGAACCCCTTAGGCAGGCCTAACTGGGTAAAACATTCCGTCGGGTTCGTTCCGCGACGCGAGGGGGCCTGGGATTGAACATATAATCAGTCGTTCGGATGTCTGGGGCGGCGGCGGCGACGGCGGCGACGAGGCCGAGGGTGCCGCGGGCTGGCGCGGCTCCTCCTCCCCACTGGCGGGGTCGTCGCAGGACGGGAGGGCCTTTGAGGACGGCGGCCAGGCTCATCCTCATCACCCTCACCACCAGCAACCGAATCATCGTCCTCAGACAACTTCGAATCGTGGACAAATCACGACGGACGATTTTTGGCCGTGTTCGGCCTCTGCGGGCCCTCGCCAGGCCCAGGGACCCTCAAGCAACGGTTCGGGATGAAAAGCCAGCCCAAGGGAATAGGTCGAAACGTCGAGGCTATGCAAACAATACGACGTCGGGTGTCTGGGTCCTCCTCCTCCTCCTGCTCCTCCTCACCATCCTCATCCTCATCCTCATCCTCACTATCACGATCAACACCATTACCATCACCATCACCATGACCGTCACTATCACCATCATCGTCACCATCACCATCATCGTCAACATCATCAACATAATCACCCCGATCAACACCATAATCATTATCCTCATCATCATCCTCATCCTCATGTCCATCCTCTTCCTCATCTTCACAATCGTCGTCATCGTCTTCGTCGTCGTCGTCGTCATCACGAACATCATCGTCAACACCGTGTGCCAAGAGCAGCAACCACACGAAGGGCCGCTGGAGGAGGACCCAGGACCTCTCCTGCAATGGGGAAACACTATGAGCGTTTGATTTGTTTGCTTGCTTGTTTGCTTTTTGTTTGGTATTTGTGGCTTCTGGGAGACCCCCTACTGGGTCTTGGGGCCGTGATAAAGACGGCTCAGGATGGACGCCGGTCCCAAGGAAGGGATCGGGATGTCGGGGGGGTCCACGTTTTGAGAAAAACACGGAGTCGGGGGTCTGGGGATTGAAATTCGAATGCTGCGATTTTCGAGCGCCTTGGTTTTTCTTCCCAGCCCTCCTGTGTTGGGTTCTCGTTTTTGAATGCAGCACTGCGATCGCACACCTCCGCCTTCTCCTCCCCCCTCCTCCTGCGCTGCTCCCTGGGTGGCTGCGAACTGTGCAACCGTCGCCACTCTCGTGGGCTCCTGGGGGGCACGGCGGAGCAGTCGAGTACCCGAGACCTTCCTGGCTGGCTGCGAACTGTGCAACCGTCGCCACTCTCGTGGGCTCGTGGGAGGCACGGCGGAATTGGGGATCACCCGAGACCTCGCAGTTCCTTGGGTGGCTGCGACCTGCCCAACTGTCGCCCCCTCACTTCTGTGTTGGGTTCTCCTTTTGAACCCGACCAGCCCTTTAGGGCGCAGGTGGTCTAGGGAGCTTCCTCTTCCAACCCTCTTCTTCCCCTTCGGGGAGGGGTCTATCCCTCCCCCATACCCCCTCCCCTGGATCTGGACGGGGGGTTCCGCGGGTAGTTGGAGCGTCCACAACGGCCTCGGCGAGGAAGCCCAAATCATTGGTTATACTAAGATTTTGGCCCCATTTAGGCCTCCGGGGGGGGCTAATTAGGGAGCTCGCTCCCCTCCTCTGATCGATCTCATCCAAGATGGCCCAAAGATGGTCCCCAAGGCTCTCAAGGGTGCCCCAAGAGGTGGCCAGGAGGCCTCAAGAGGCCCCCATGATGCACCCAAGAGGCTCCCAAGAGACCCCCAAGAGGCCCCGAGAGGCCCCCCAGAGGCACCCAAGACGCTCCAAGAGGCCTCGGCGAAAATGCCAACCTCATTGATTTTATTTAGGTTATGGCCAAATTTTTGGCCTCCTGGGGGGGGGCACTGATTAAGATGACTCCAAGAGCGCCTGGGGGAGCCCAAGATGACCTCCAATATGGCTCAAGATCTCCCAAGATGCCTCAAGATGGCTCTCACGATGCTCCAAAAGGCCCCAAGACCGCTCCAAGACGGCTCCAGGTGGCCAGAGAGCTTCTTCAGGAGGCCCCGAAGAGGCCTACATCCTTCCCAAACCTTAGGAACATCAGTGTTTTTGGCTTTCTCGCCTCTTCGCTTCTTCGCTTCCGATGGCCATCTAAGGCCTCAAGATGGCTCCGAGATGGCCCACGAGGGCTCCAAGAGAGGCTCAAGAGAGCCCCAAGACGGCCCCCAAAACGCTCCAAAAACGCCCGAAGAGGCGACTTTTTGAGCTCCCGAGGGGCAGCGCTAATTAATGCCCCCCTCTTGAATGATCGATGTTCCCCACGATCGCCCAAAGAGCGCTCCCAAGGCTCCCAATAGCGCTTCAAGCCCCAAGAGGCGCCCAGGAGGCCCCAGAAGGCCCCAACAGGCGCCCAAGAGGCCTCCAAGAGGTTCCCAAGAAACCCCCAAGAGGCCCCAAGAAGCTCTCCGAGGCACCCAAGACGCTCTAAGAGGCGTCCGGGACCGCCAAGAAGCCCCTCAGACGCTCCAAGAGGCCTCCACTGGGGAACCCTTCCTTTGTGTGCTGCCCACTTCCCTGATCCAGGCAATCCCTCTGGCCATCGTTTCTGGATGGGCTGGTGGGGTTATTTTTTTGGGGGTCGCGGCCGCAAGCGAAGGCGCAGGCGGCGTCAGAAGACGTCCCGGGCTACGGGCGAAACCGAATTATCCAGCGAACGCACTCACGGCTGCCAGAGCTGCCGCCGAGGGGCCAGGAACACGCGAGCATGCAAACTGGGGCTGGTCGACGTGCGAGTCGCCGGGACGCCAGGGTGCCTCATCAGGCTCAAAGAAGCCTGCACGGATACCACCGGGCGCCGGGGACGGAGGAGGGGCGGCGCAGCAAGCAGCTGAAGGCTGAGAATACCTCAGGCCAGGTGCCCGCGGCGCGGCGCGTGTGAGTCACGTGACGTCACGAAGAGGGGGCCAGTTCACCAGGGATACCAGGCCAGGCTGTGGCCGGGTCCGAGCGAAGGCCAGGGTGAAAACAGCTACAGTTAACGGCCGGGGCCGCGTGGCACGCTGCGCCCCGCCCCAGCAAGGGGCATCGTGCCAGCTATTGACAGCGCCGTGGGGCCTGATCCCCAAGGGCGGGGGGGCAAAACCAGGCGCGCTGTCGGGGCCGTCGCCGGCCGTCGCGAGGCCCGCTGACGAAGGGTGCCGGGTCAGGCTGCGGTCAGGTGCGGGGAAGGCCAAACAGTTACAGCGCGCGGCAAGGGCCGCGCGACGGCACGCTGCGCCCCGCCCCAGCAAGGGCATCGTGCCAAGTATTGACGGCGCCGTGGGGCCTGATCCCCAAGGGCGAGGGGCGAGCCGGGCGCTGTGCTGGGACCGAAACCGGTCGGCGGAGGAGGAGAGGTGGGGGGGGCAACGCCGGGGAAGCAAGTGGCTAACGGCCACGCAGTCACTTGGTACGAAGAAGGGAGGAGAGAAGAGAAGCGCTGAACGTGAAGCCAAGAGATGGGCTTGGCACTGTGCTGGCTAACGGCCAAACTTTATGGTCTCTAGTGTCTGGCTACCGGCCATGCCTTCTGGCGACGTTTCTGACGCATCTAACGACTGTCCCAGGGAGATCACGACCACTTGGGCCGCTTGCCGTCGTGGTCCGCACCGTCGCTGTTTCGTCTGCCTCTCTTGCCTCCGTCATGCCAGTCATGGCCATGCCAAGACTGCCCTGAACCGTGCCAGGGCCACCCCTCCCAATAATCTGAGGACTGGTGCCGGGAGCTGGAGCTCCACCCTTTTGACTGGTGGGGCCCCTTGCCAGAGGTCGCCCTGATGTGCCTTTCGCGTTTGGCCTGCCAGTCGACTTTAAGATCCAGCTGCCGATCCATCTCGTAGGCGTCGAAGCCGCATCTGCGCCAGGCGTCCAGGAAGCCCTTGCACGTGGCCTTGTCGTTCAGGAAGGGGTTGCTTTTGGACATCCATGTGGCGCTGTTAGGGTACTTCTGTGTGTAGCCGTGCCAGATCCCGTTGAATGTGCCTCCCGGGAGCTTCTGGAGGCGCGCGATCTTGTCGGCTGGGGGCTCTCCGTGGTGATTCAGGTTGACGCTGCCCAGGTGTTCGCGATGCATGCTTCCGCCTGTAACGGGGCCCCGGGGATCGTCAAAGGCCCTCCGCGCGCCGCTGCTGCGAGGGGGGGTCGAAGGGCGCCTGCTGCCGTCGGTGCCAGGGGGCGCTGCGCGCCTGTTCGCGGCCGGGGCGCCAGGCGCGCCCCTATCACTGATGGCATTGCCGCGCCTCGGTGGGGGCGGATCATCTCTGGAGCTGGCGGCTGCCGCGGCACCTGCGGCTGCAAGCGCAGGTGGGTCATGCGACCGGAAGGCGCCGAGAGGATCGTCGCCGGGGCTTGGGCTAGCTTCTGGGGCGTCCTCGCTGTTGTCCTCGCGGCTGTGCTCGAGCGAGGGTGGGGGCGAGCTGCCGGGCTGCTGGGGGCCTTCGCCCGCTCCTGCGTGCTCGCTCGGCGACTCTGCTGGGGGTGCTGGTCGCGGGCCGCCGAAATCCACAGAATGATCTCTTTCCCTGGTAGTGCCGCTGGCGCCGTCGTGTTCCTCGACGTCGTTCGCGGCGCCTGGTGGGTCGAGCTCCTCTTCAACGCCCTCGACCGAGTCTGCGGGCGTGTCGTCGTCCCTGTGGTCCTCCTGCTGGCCGTGGGGGGGCGGCGGCCTCATCCCTGAGATGCCTGGGGCCAAGCCATCTCGACCAGAAAGCCCCGCTGGGTCGCCCCCGACAGGGTAGTGACCGACGTGCCGGCCCCGGGGTGACTCGTCGACCTCTTGCTTGGGGGCGTGCCATGTCCCTGCCCCTGCACCTGCTGCTGTGGAGCGACCTCGCTGCCCGAGCTAGTGACTGGGTCCTGGCGCGCCAGGTTAGTGGTGGTGGCTGCCGCGAAGGCGCTGGCGTCAAGGCCCGCCAGGAAGTTGGCGAGCACTGGGAGCTCGTGCCGGAAGGGGCTGGGCCCCCTGCTCCGCGCCACGGAGGTGCAGTGATTCTGCCGGGCTTCGCTGTGACGTGGGCTGTTGGTGAAGTGCTTCACCGCTCTGGCGGCCGCCCAGCGCTTGCCGTCCCAGTTGACGTGTGGCGGCGAGCCGTTTGCTGGAACCCCGGGGCCATGCATCCTGGCCAGGAAGGGGGCCGATCTGTTTGCCGGCCAGGAGGTTTCCTAATCCTTTGGCTCGGGGATGGCTGCGCCCTCAACTGCCACGTATTCCCG